AGGTACAGTGTGAAGGATCAGGTTGAGTTGGTAGAACGGGGTCAGTGGCAGAAAGTAGTTAGATCGTATGTAATATAACCTGCGAGGATGGGTTCAGTGGCAGCGGAGAGAGGTAGCGTGGGGATGACGGGGTCATTGTCAGAAAGAGAAAATTTTCAGACTAAATAAGTGAAATGAAGAGGTAGAAACTTTAAATTGCAGTCAGGTTGGTCGTTGCTTCTATGCCTTTCAGATTATTGATTCTTCACCGATCCCCGGAGTTAATAATAAAAAGGCACCAATCGCCAGGAACACAATATACATATATATGTGCCAAGGACGGATATTTCTCTACCAAGCTATTTTTTCGTTTCACTTCTCCCGTACGTTAAAATTCTCACTCTACGAAACCAGCAAAATAATCATGATCGTGCTTATGACTAATTTTACTAAATTATTAATTTTCTCATTTTATTCGTTGGTGGGAGCTTTGTACACAACATCCTGTGATAGCATGTCTGTTGTTTATGCTCAGTTTCTACAAGATTTAATGTGTGAACTGCTTACAAGTTTTATCACCAAATTTCAAGTTCAGTTTCGAAATCCCAATTTTACTTACCAATATCAATATGAATGCCCCAATATTCGATTTCTTAGTTCACATTGATAAGAATCGACTAATCAACAAGAGCGTAGACGGGCCAAAATTTTCCAATATGACGCAATAATGTGCTTACTCGCCCGATTTCATTCCGACACGCGCCAGATACAGGCGGTAACTGATATCCGATATCTCAAAGAATCCATATACAGACTTACCTCACCATAAGAATGAGGCTACAAGAGTCGCTTAAACGTTCTAAGTCTGAACGATTTTCAAGCATGGAAGCTCGCAGGAATGTTTTCAAAACAACCGAAAATGTAATAAAAAGAGTTTGTTTACCTTGTGACGTGTCGTTTCTTTTACATCTGTGGCAGAGGTGTGTATTACGTTGATTTTTTTTTTGAGTTTACCTTCCAGAAGGGTTATCATGCTGGCCAACTGATTGATTTGCTCTATAAAAATGGTTAATTATCCAAATATTTATCTGTCCGTTATGAGATAATAAACCATTTGTCGTTTTGATTTTGTTCCAAATCAAAATATAGGATATTTTAAATTAAATATATTTGGTCTCAATATAGAAAATTTAATTTAAAAAAAATATTCTATTGTGAAAGCTGCCAATTCGACGATGCCAAAATGTTATATTATTTGAATTATGTGAATGAATAAAATATAAATGTTACAATTCATTTAAAGTGATTTGATATTAAAATTGTAAAGTAACCAAAACTGGGAGACTACAACTCTGGGATATGTAATTCCTGTGCAACAGTTCCTGAGCCTAGTTTGATAAATCGGGGAACATAATTTGAAGAAATATAAAATAATCAATTCCAATGGGGCTCACAGTGGATCGTTAAATTTGTTCTTTGTGTTACAAACCTTTTAAAGCTTTTTTTCTGTTTTTCAATTCGTCATTCTTAAAACGAAAAGGAGCATTAAAAGAGAATTAAAAATGACTTATCTGGAACCTCGTATATTTGCCAAAATTTAATATTTAAGTGATAACACATTGCCGTTTTGGGCATTGCAAAATGTTTATAGAATTTTGGAATTTTGAATAAACAAAGTGTAGTAAGGATTTTCCATGTATTGTTAATGGTCGCCAGTCATGCTTTTTTTAAACCAATAAATCTGTGATATGGAGCTGTCATGAATATCTTACCATTTCGCATTCTCGAAATACTTCCCACACAGGCATATTGGAATATCGGAAATTTACATGCAACGGCTCCTGAAACGGTCTCCGCGTTCGTTCAAAATATCGGCTTTTTTGTTGTAAATATATATAATAAATTTTTCTGTCAAGTTATAACTACAAGAATTCAAAATGTCACTGTATTTTAATTCATTTGTGTACAAAGTAACTCGCGGTTGCGGCGACTCATGTCAAAGTAAACGCATTACCGATCTAAAATACCACACCAATCCGCGGACATATAAAAGTGTGATCAATTGCCCGATTATATTTAGTTTTGATATATATTGCACTCATGCGAATTCGTTGTCGTCATTAGAAAGATCTGGTATAATATCCAAGAAAATATATTTGATTTAGTATAAGTAAAATACATATAAAGTATATTAGTATATGGAAAATACATATTCATCGACTCGAAATTCTCGCGGTACGGCTCCTGAGTCAGTCCTCGAGATCACGCCAGTCGTTAAAAGAGCCGACTTTTTCAACGGATATGTAGGCCTAATGGTTTTTCTAATGAATAAAAAATATTCAATCCATGACCGATATACTCATTTAAAATGGTTGCTTTATTCATTTAAATTGTGATAAATCAAATCTGTGATTGCGTCGATAAAATAAAAGCACCACTACTCCAAATTACCACGGTAATCCGCAACCATAAAAATGTGTGGCAAAGTGCCCGATTACAATTTGTTTTGATTTGTATTCTTGCCAATTTCACCATTTTAAATATGTAAATTCTATCTATCTATCTATCCACCAATATGAGAAGTCCCTGCAACTCTTCTTCCGCTCTATTGCAATGCTGTCACTCGATTAATTTTAAGATATCACCGTTACAAAAAGTCTGCGATAAAATCCCACGGAGTAAAATTTATTTCAAGTCGGTAGTTTTAGAACACTACTGGTGTGCCGCAGGCACAAGGAATTTATGAGATTTGTAATGTATAAGAAAGTGTTTTTAATCTGTCGCGGTCCACCCTAAAACAAAACTCATGGTGTTTTCCGTTTATTTTTAGTATTTTATAATGCGCTTTTACAATAAAGAAATATTTGGTTGCAGATTTACTTCTTTATTCTATCTTCAGCATCTCGTCGCTGATGATTATATAATAAAAACTAACTCGTTGTCCTCAGTAACTATAAACAAGTAATTATAATCGTCTTCGCGGCACAAGGATATGTCGAGGGAAATTTTTAATTTAGGGAGAATAAACACCGAAATCAAGATTTCTACGGCTTAAATAACACGCCACGCTGACGAAAACAATCGAGATTTAAACAAAATGCAATCGCAAACGCCTTAGCGACCTCATTTTCAGCGGTCACGGGCCGGAGAAACGTCAACATGCATAATACCTATTAAAAAATGAACTGCTTTTAAATTTACATAAATTCATTTGCACTTCTCCATTTTGTTTGAAACGTTAGGCAGGCCTAGAAGTCTGTAATTGTTGCTTATTTTTAACACACAGTAAATAATTTTTGCATTGCTCAATAGTGATGAAGTAAACAATTGATTGAAATTTTACGTGACTTATGTAAACGTTCAAGCAAAAAATACATTAAAGCATAGGTTTATTGCGTGTTTAATTTTACTTAAAAATTAGTTTGACTTTACCAGGTAAACTGCAAACTGTGCGGAAAAACAAGAATGTATGGGGACCAACCACTATTTGGCTTTATACATACGACAGTGAATGTCGAAATTGTACTCCGAAGCGTTTTATGCCTAAACAATCTGAGCAATGACCCTATAAGACCAACACTCTTATAGCGCCATCCTAATATACTGTATAGCGACCGGCCACGACAAAAGCATTTTTTCAAAGCAAAGAGAAGAGCTACAGGAGTGGTGACTCCTCTACGGCCCATGGGCCGGGGCCACGGCCCATCTAATTGGGCCACATGGGCCGTGGCCCATCAAGCTATGGGCCGCGGCCCCATCAGGAAAATTTCAATCATCTTACCAAAATTTTCAATTTTTACAAAACTGTCAATATTCGAACAAAAAAATATACTCCTGTAGTATGTGTACCAGGTTAGGGTTAGGACAAAAAAAAATCAGATTTTTTACATTATAGTTCTATTATGAGTTCGGGGACTGTCTGTGTTAGCCAAGTGAATAGTCCCTTTACACAACTTGATGGGCCGCGGCCCATAGCCTGATGGGCCGAGGCCCATAGCCTGATGGGCCGAGGCCCAATTCGATGGGTCGTGGCCCCGGCCCATGGGCCGCAGAGGAGTCACCACTTCCACTCGACAAGAGGGCGCGATAAGTTTGTAAAATTTTTCAAATGGGGGTGCGGATCAAAAAGTTTGAAAACCACTGGTCTAGGAGGTATTGATCATTATATTCTTATCACTTTATATTGGTGTTAGGAGGATTCAAAAGCAATTTCTGTTAGGGACACAATTGTCACACCATGCAAAAACACTCTACTTCAGTACTTTATTCATATCGCACTGTCTACATTTACAGACTTAGGTCAACAAGTCAACTCCACAGCAATAGCTTACCTAAACATAAAGTGCATGCTTACATTAAGGGGTAGAACCGTAGTAGTATATATTTACGGTAGAACACCACATCAAATTAAAATCACCAACACAAAATTAAAAATTTAAAGGGGAGGATCCAATATAGTTCGACTGCTCACCTAGTTACAATACTTGGTATCATGCCAAGACGCCTAATTTTATTTTATTTCGACAAGTCTAGAATCCAGCCCAATGCCTTCATACCCCGACTATGCCGACGGAAGTTTTATGGATCATTTTCTCTTCAATAGAGATCACCTTTGAATGTACCACATAATGCTGTAATGAAGTAAACTTTCTTCCATCACATTTGTATATGTGGGATGGTATTATCGAAATTGTTGAGGTTTTTCGCCTTCAACTGGCCGGCGTTTATGGGGTCATATATATGACAGATTGAAACTAAGATTTGCGGTAGCCAAAGTAAAAGTTCAGGGTTTTCAAATTGCCACAAAGTCGGAATACGTCATAAAAGCTACCCGGTACTTATTTCAACAAAAATTTTGAACTCACGCAGTCATGTTGCTGTAGCCGATAATTTTTTCTTTTTGCCAGTGATTTTCAGAGTCGATGTCATGCGCTGGTTGTATCGGTTTCGTACCTATTTGCAGAGAAGACGTGTGGCACTGACCTATATCAAACCCGGTACTCTAATAGCTGAATAGCCTTGTTTGCAATGTTCTCTCTCCTTTTTCTATTGTTTAAGTTATATTATGCAGTAGGAGCTTTTTAGAATATACAAAGAATGGATTCCCTTTTAGAAACTGCTGGTAATTTGGATCAATTGTTGGATGACTTTGAAGAAAATGAAGAAGAGGAGCCAATCATGACTAGTCGTTAGTAGATTATTTTGATTTGATTCAGCTCTTATTGTCTTATGTTTACTATTTTATTAAACTAATAATCATCTAATATGCCAGAAATTATTTGAACGAATTCGAATATAGGCCTATTTTGGGCGAAATGGTGGCCTATTGCAGGGTGGTCCAAACCCAGGCCCGCGGGCCATATGTGGCCCGCCGCTTTATTATCTGTGGCCCGTGTCACAGTCGGAGAGTAATCAAAGAATCGTATTTTGTGTTGTTTCGTAATAAAATTAATCAGAAAAATCTTTTGACATATTGTTTCATCAATAATGTCACTGAATTGACTAGTGTTATTGCTAGCTGAGGCAACTAGCAAAGTTGATGATTTGCTTGGCAGACTAAATTATTACCTGGCTTTCTACCTTTTTGGTCGAGAAAATTTGCTAACAAAATAGGCATCATAAAAAACTAAAAATCGAATGCGGATTCTATTAGCCTGGGATGGCTATGTCTGATAACTATGTGTTTGCACAATAAAAGTGTTTGTTTTGTATTGCACCGTTTACCTATTCTTGGCACTATTGTGGCCCGCGAACAATGCAAAAATAATTTTGTGGCCCGCGAAGCCGACAACCTTGGACCACCCTGGCCTAGTGGTTGAAGCGTTAGACTTAACTGTGCTGGCACGGCAGATTAGGGTGTATTCCGGTCTAGCGAAGTAAACGCCATACAGCCATAACTCCTTCAATAACCCCAAACAAGTGATTTGCAATAATCGCCGAGACTGGCATGGAATGAAATTCTTGACTGACACATGTAGTTAAAATCAAACCCACCTAATCTTCAATTTAGCAGGTATGTACCATGCCGAATAGGTTATCCATAATGTTTCACGCAAGACTGACTTTTATTTAAAAATGAATAAAAATTTGGGCTTTGTTTGGTGTTATTCAAGCAGTTACAGCATTTATTTTTAGATCAAATTTTTGTTTTGCGTAATTTAAGCACTGTGTGTACTTCTTCAGACCTGCATGAAATGCATGGAAAGGAATTGTATGTAAAAAACTCATGTTTACGCATTATTTTTTTTTTTTATTGGCATTGCCTGGTTTTCTTGTTTCGTGAATTGGTTTGTGTCACTTAAGGCTATCGGACAACGGCCTAATTGTTTGCCCTAGTGTCATACCTATTTTACTTTATAATCAATCTTCTTTTTTCAGATTCTTTCAAAACTGAGAATGGGAAAACATTGGATACTACAGTTGAGAATGGATCAATTGTAACTTTGGTGGACAACCATTTACCTCAAAAGACATTGGAACTTAGTGATGTTTCAAATATAAAAAACTATGTTTCGGAATCACAAAGTTCTGATATTCAAAACTCAAATGATGATTCAGAATTGAAAAATGGAATACCAGAGCATGTAGTAACAAAAATAGAACAAGATAGTGTATCATCTACCGAAATGCCTGAAGGTGAAAATATGAATCAATCACAACCTGATAATAAACAAGAACAGAATGAAAAATTAAACATAGACATTTCAAATGTGAAAGATTTACCTCCTGAAAATGTGCCTATTATTGATCCTAAATCAATACATGTCTCAGTGCCTCTTCCCATCTCTGAGCAAGGTCAAACAAGCGAGGAATTTGTTGTTGTTAATAATGAAGATAAATCAGAGATGATTGATTCTGATCAAGGAATCAATCAAACAAATTCTGAAATTTTGATGGAATTATTTGGTGCGGCACCAGATATCAAAACGCCAAAAAATCCTGAAAATCCAGATATTGGTACAAATGGGATGTTGTCACCTTTAAATCCATTTAATATTGATTTGCTACCGCCCAATGGGGGATTGAATAATGATACTAAAGCGCAAATGCAGCCATCTGGGATTTTTAGTTGGGAGAATATGGATAAACTGGGACAAAATGAAAATACTTTATCTCCAGTAAGTAATGGGTTACCCATTTCTCCTCCCGGATACCAAGGTCCAAATCCATTTTTATTGGACATGGATAACAAAACACCAACTGGAAATTCATTACAACCTGAACTTTCAGCATTTACTTATGATATGGAAAACAATATTGATGCTCCCAAACAAATCGATAATATTGAACCAGCGCAAATTGCCAACCAAGCAGCTGAAACAAATCCGAAGGTTTTGATTGAGAAAACAAATCCTTTGCCAAGTCAGGTTGACACAATGATAACAGGTGCCTCTGAAATTAAACCTCTTCCAATGGACCATGAAAATTATGTTGTCGTCCCTGCTATTAAAAATCGTGATGTTGCTCCTGTACAAACCTCTTTTGAAAAGCAAGAAAAATTGTCTGTTGGATTTATGAAAGAGGTTGCAGTTACAGAGGAAGAATTTGAAAAGTTTCTTGCAGAAATGGAAGAAGAGGATAGCAGAACATCAATCAACCCAAATAGGGATACTCCAGGTCATTTGGACACTAAAACCAGTGGGGCAAATGTGTCATTTTCTATTATTGGTACAGCAGAAAACTTGTCAGATATGACGACTGCAGTGTCTGTTGTAAACAGTGATCCCACTACCAATAATAGTATAAATGTACCTGGAAATACATTAAATTTTGGATTTTCTATTGGAGAAAATATTGTGGGAACCCAGTTTGGTATCGATGCTCCACCTGTAAATGCAATTCCTGTAGCGATACCTGTTGGTGGAAACAATGCAACAAACAATGGTGAAATGATTCAACAAGGATCTCCAACGTTTCCTCTCCGAAGAAAAACAGCTCAAGTGCAAGGGCTCGAACCATCCAGAATGGAGATTTCTGAATCTGAACATCACTCTCAAAATGAAAGACTTCATTTAAATATCGAGTCAATAGAACAAGCCCCAAAAAATGGATCTAAATATCCCAACACACCGCCCCCTCCATACACTCAAGAAATGCTTGCAAATTATGAGCAAGCTATGTCACCCGAGCATTTGAGACCTCCAACAGGTAATTACTTATATTTCCTCCTTTAATCCTATTCTTGCCAACCAGGGGGAAATTTTGCTTTGTATTTGCTATAGTATTACTAATATTTTTTAGTTCTTCATCATTACTTTATTAATATACTTATTTATACTCTTATTATGAACTACTTAATCTGTTCAAAAGCGGGAGTGTGACTTGCACCTAATAGTAGCGATCCATTAACAATTGAATAAACAAAGTAGTTGCTTGGTGGGGAAGGAATATAGAGTTCCAAAATAGTAAAGAGACGATTTTTCAAAAAAAGGTCGGGACCCACTGCTTTAATCTTATGGTGATATGTTGTGTGTGTCCCAGTGGTGTGATCAAGTCAGTCAAGATGGTAATATCAGTACCAACTAGTAAACGAGAATATCGGTCAGAGACCGAAGACTTATCGATCGGAAGTTAGGGGATCCCCCAAAACAGCGCTCTTACTCCATAGTGACACCTTGTGTGTTGTGTCCCATCACTAATTAATTGATAACTCGTTAATTATACGACATAATTCGCCCAAAATCAATAGGCTTCTAGTACGAGATATGATGAATGCACATGCAAAATCTGCAGCAGATCCAATCTCGCTTTCGTGAGATATCGCGTGCATCTAACAGACAGACAAACAGACAAACAGACAGACAAACAGACAAACAGACAAATACCTATCAACATACTTACCGATTAAAATCGATAAGTATTAAAATGAATCTCCAATTGACCATTACTGTAATCTAAAAACATTGTTATTCTCATAAGTCATAAACACAAACCGATAAATGTATTTATGTGATATGACATATTCAGTTGGCAAACAGGGACAGTTATATATGATCAATACATACCCACCAATCACAATATTGACAATATATAATGATGCGTTTTTGGGTCCTGTGACATAGCGTAATGCAACTTTTATCATTTTTCATTGTTGTTCAGATGCCAGTTTGCATTACAACTGTTTTGTTTGCATAGGGTTAACTGGTAATATGATATATGTAGCCTTTGGGTAGGAACAGATTTGCAAGCCTGAATAATTTTATCATTGCTATTTGCTACATTGGTATATCTGCATTTCATGTTCTGAACAAGGCAAACAATGAAGTTTATCTCTTGTTTTTTCACATGTAACTTTTTTTTTTCATTTTAGGCCATCAGATTAATCAGGAAGAGCAAACCTCTATGGTAAGTGTTGTTTGTAGTGTCTTTCATTTATACTGTCAGTTCAATAAGAATCATAATTTATCTAAATAATTTTTGGGGCTCCCGAAGTATGCGAACCAAGATGGCGGACATCGGAATGTAATAAGTGTACTAGGTTAGGGTTAGGCCATAATTTTAGGTATAAATACTACGGGAGGCTCTTGGCTAGTCTTCGAACTGATAATAGGACTAAAATAAGGAAAATTGGAAAAAAATTATCGCCTAACCTGTTACCCATGTTACGTTCTGATGTCCGCCATCTTGGTTCGCATACTTCGGGAGCACCAAATTTTTATTAACCTAATATTTATGGCCGTTAATTTAATGTGAGTTTAGAAGTGAGTGACAAAACGTGATCTTACATTTTGTCGATTCAAAATGATCAACTGACTGGTTTGGATGATTGTGTTTTGTTTTTGTTTGACACTCACATTACTAGAAAAGTTCTTTCATCTTCTTGTTCATTCTCCAAGCTAAACTCTTATGGAATTAATTAGGTTTGAATGGTTGACAATTCTTTTTAAAGATTTCTCTTCAGTTGTCAAGAAACATGTTAGCTTATACCTTTAATTAATTGTGTTCAGGTGACATACAAAATGTATTCCTACACCCATAAATACGGACCACATTTGATTGAGTATTTATGCTAAAAATATTTTACCCCAATGATTCTGACTGAGACTATAGTTCATCAAAAAAATTTCATTTTTCATTACATAATTCTCTTAATATTAAATTTTTTAATTTTAAATTGCACCTCAATTTAACATGTTATTTTTAGCTTCAAGAATCCGAGCCACAAGATCACAGTCAAGCTGAAGAAGCAGAAAATGACTTTTCACTTTTGCCAAGTGCAATACTGGAATCTATAACTCGACCTGGTGACACAAAACCAAAGTGGGTTCCAGATCATGATGCTCCACAGTGCAGTAATTGTGCTGCAAAGTTCACTTTTACAAAGAGAAGGTGGGATCTTTTAATAATATATTCAAGAGCTTATCAATATGGCTTTTCCCATGTATTACAAGTATTCCTTTGCTTCTTACTTCTTAGGGATGATTATAGGCCTTTATTTCAATTTTGATCAATAATAAGGGATTATGAATGCAATTGTTGTATATTTCTAATATTATAAATGAATTTTATTTTGTTGAAATTACTCGATTTAATTCTGAAAGATCAAATTTCATAGAACATGAAATAGTAAATTTATTTGATTTAAAGAGCCTTACTAGTTACTACACATTATCACAAATACATTTCTTTATCTAAAACTTCCTCAGATAAACATAATTTAGTCGGACTTTAGTCAAGCGAAACAATACAAAATGTATTACCACGTGTTGTCTGCAGCAATCTCTTAAAATAGTTATCTTGACTTGTGTAAAAGTTATAAGGATAAGTAGTCGATCTGAAACCCAATTGCTAGTAACTTTAATTATCTAAACTTATGAAAACTTCTGAATATCAAGATTCGTGGACCTCATGCATGAGTCATTAGTCTTGTGGCTATCTCGGATCCAATGAATAACTAATGACTAACTGAATAATAAATACACGATAAATTCAGTGAACAATGCTGAACAAATTAGATCCTTTATATATCCCTTGCGGTTGCTTGTTTGGAGCCATATTTCGAGTGACAATGCAAAATGCCAATAAAGCATTTTGAAACTAGGTTTATTAATTTATTATATTAAAAGTCTCGTTCAACTCAGACACATTTTTATGAAATTGAGCTTCATTGTTTTTAATGGTACTTTAGGGCTTATGATCGCAGCAATTTCCCACTTCCTGAGTTACTGATGTCTGCTTTAACGATTACAATATTGGTAATATTTTTGGAGAGTAATATAGCCAACCTAAGAGTGGCTCTCAGGTTTATATTGGGTTGTTCAAATGTAATATAGAGCTAATTTTTCCAGGCATCATTGTCGAGCTTGTGGAAGGGTATATTGTGCAACATGCTGTAATGAAAGAAGCCAGTTAAAATACCTGGATTACAAAGAAGCAAGAGTTTGTTCTATGTGTTGTTTGGCAATAAAACAAGGTAAGAACTAGGATTTTATTTTTTTTATTTCTTCACAATTGCCGGAAGTGCGAGCCAAAATGCTTGTTATAACATAGTTTACTGCATCGTAATATTGGATTAGGGAGATTGAGTAAGGTATTTATAATTTATAAAAAATAACATTTTACGCTGACATAATTATCTCATAATAGAATCATCTTTAAGTTATTTAGAACCTGGTGAATCAAGCAAATGTTTATGACATATTCTTAGTTTTCATTGTAAAATTCTAATCATTTCAATGTTGTTCAATGAGGCAATTTTTATAAAAAAAAACAGTGATTTCTAAAAAAAGATCTTACCATGTGTTTCAAATATAGTATACGGTAATTCTTGTTTCCTTAGTTAACTTTAAATTACAATAGAAAACGCTGTCTGCAATTGTATGTCGCTATATAAACTGAAGAGTAGTTTTGAATAGATATTTATATAGGAAAGGTGCCTATTGGTCAAAGTTTTAGGTCAAAGTGATGATGGTGTAAAATATGATATTCTGTATCTTAAAATAAATTTATTCTAAAATATTTATTAGCAATTGTAATTTATTCAGACTTCTGGATTATTCTTCTGCTGTAAAAGCAATTGTATATAATATGAGGATGTAAATAATTCAGGTTGTGTTCCATAATATTAAATAAAATATACACTAGCAAAGATCTGAAGTGTTCAGTCGGAAGTTTTGTTCAATAGCAAATTATATAGTACATAATATTTTTCTTAGTGGTTATGAACTTGTGATTTTTATATTGTTCTGGGTGTATAAACATAAATAAGTTGAGCATCTAAATTGTCTGAGTATTGATTGAATAGAACAACAGAGCATAAAAATTGAGAAATTCACCTTAGCAATTAAAGGTATTTATAGTTGCTAGACCAGAAAAGAGACATCATCAGACAAGGCTGCCTGAGTTTTGAAAATATTGATCTGTGGTTAAAAAAAAACTCTAATATTATGAAGCTCCATTTCCAACTGGGGTCCGAAATCGTAAGAAAAAAATTTATTGTAACACCTTTGATTTAATAAGAATCCGGTCTCCAGGCTGTAGCTACCTAGCTATTTAAAAGCAATATAATAATTCCCAAATGACATATTTGAAAATTTTCACAGCTGATGCATTGGCTGAAATGTCTCGCAAAGCAGCAGCAGCCCAAGCCGCTTCTACAGCTACTCACATTCAATCATTAGAAGCCTCTACTACAGATATGGCACCGGCAGAAGAGGCTGTAGATGCAGCCAGAACCCCATCTGATCCTCTTCCAGAAGTTCCAACAAATCTTCCGATTGAAACTAGCCAGGAGGCAGAAGAAGTTACTATGGCTGATCAGACATTACAAGATAGACCTACATCAATTATCAATGTTCCTTCAAGTACTGCTGGAGAAGGTGGGTGGACTTCAGTATTTAATAGCCTGTATGATTATTTTCTAGATTTATTGTGGAGACTTTGTGACCGTATCTCATGCTCACTTTCCTCTATGTCTGAGGAATATAGGTATGAGAGACAGATATGAAGGGCATGTAAGATGGCATGACATGCATTTATTGTTATTGTAGTCATAGTAATATTTTAAACTCTCCAGAAGTTCAGAGTCTAAATTTCTGACAAATGCGAAGATCATCAAGTTGACTAAGCATTATCAATAGACAACTTTCAAAGGCTTGCATACATCGAAGTTTTTATTTTCAAAATTTCTCTCAGTCAAAGTTTAAATTTCCATCTGGAGTTAGAATGGAACTCAAATTTAAAGTTAGTAGGAGTTATTTTCAAATGGCTTGGCTTGAAGTCAGAGTGTAAAGTTTGCCAGACTTCCGAATTGAAATAAACTGAAAGACATCATACATGCCCTTCTCTTCACTTTTTTACCTGAAATCATTTTCAACAACAGAGAAAATATCTAAATAGAAATAGTATTTTGATATCAATCTATTGAGGCCTACACTTCTTAGCATCTTTTTTCTTGATGTTATTGTGCTTTGGATTGGCTTGAATGTGCTTCTTTAGTACATCTATTCATTAAATCACCTGACTTGAGCAAATATAGGACAATCAGTCAACAGAATATATATATAATTTGCGGGTAAAAATAATACAAACGGAAGAATTGTCATCCCTTATCATTACACTGTCATTCCAAAGTTTATTTAAAAAAAATCGCATCAATATGAATTGTCCAAGCATTTAAATTTGATAAATTTTTTATGTAGGATATATTATTAACTGATTTTAATTCAGTTTAAATCATTTCACAGAGATGGAAGTAGAAGGTTCTTTATCAAATACTCCAAATACCAAAAGTGTTAGATTTTCTGATGGTACAAGACCGAAACATCCAGATGAAATGCCAACGACTCCTCCACCTCCTTCAAGAATGAACAGGCATGTTGGTTATACTTCACTTTTCGGTGCTCCAGAAGTATGTGTACCAATATGGAGGTAACTAATTTGGTTCGCCTACTTTACATCAAGTTGTGTGAAGCGACTGGAACCTATGGGCAGGGGGTATATTCACTTGGCTAACACAGACAGTCCCCAACTCGTAATAGAACTAAAATAAGGAAAATCGGACCCTAACCTGGTACACACACTACAGGAGTATGCACTTTTCTTTTATCTGATATATGCATTGTATTTTCCGTAATAATTAATAATGTCATAAACCATTTTGCATAAGTTGTAGTACAATTGCTAACGCTAACATGTGTACTTATTTGCCAATTCACTGCTCAGTGCTATGTGGTTCGATTATATTTGTAATGGATTTAATATCTATTTAATATTTTATGTTATATGTAGGGATGTCCATATGAAATCTAATATTTGATATAATCAAGAAAAGATTTATTAGATAGTGTAAATTTGTGATTTTGGGAAGATTTATAATACTTCCATTTTAATGATAATGATTAATGATTCTGTGCAATTAGCATTCGACATTAAGATCATTTTGGGATTGCTAATTTTTGATAATGGCTAATCAAATGTTTTTGCTTACTAAGCTATATGAGGTTTTGGGTTTCTACAATTTATCTGTTATTGACATTGTCTATGTAAATATGGCTAAGAATGAATTGTGTTGTTGACATTTTCTGCAATTGGTAAATGCCATTATTGCATTTCTATTTCGACTTCTAGAGTGCGAAAAAAGCATGGACACCACACAAATGATCCTAATGCAGTTGTTGGACACAATCTTCCACCCATTATCATTGGTAAGTTGTTGTAATATTTGCCTTCATACAATACCTTAGTATAGATTTCATTGAATAATATTTGGTGATAAATAAAAAAGTTTACTGTTTCATTCAGTTGATTACTGTTTGAACCAGTGAATCGGTTACAATGATGATAAAAATTTATGATATAATGGGAAAAAAAATTGCTTTTTTGTTTCCAACAGCTCATGGAGAAAATGGTGCCTTTGCTGTGCAAGAAAATCCAGACATGAATGTTGTAACAGATTTATTGGAATCGGGAGGAACAACTCCACAATCATTTGCTTTTCCTAATTTAATAATCAACCTTCAGTTTATATCATGTAAGTATGAATCACACGCAGTCAACTTCAGTCTATGATCAAGTTTATTTACAATGCATAGAAAGCAACATCAATACATTCTAATTGAACACAACTAGTTTGTTTCTGCATGAACCTGGATTATTTCATAGACTTCAATTCATTTCTCTTTCAGGCTGTGATGGGTATAGCTAGGGTTTGTTTAGTTCTTGTTGTAAGTAAGTGTTCTGTTTCACATGATGACATAATCTATAATACGGAGAATGGGGTATCCGATGAATTTGGAAATTTGGCAATGTCACAGATTTCATACCTAATCCTAATCCCAGAGGAAATACACTTTAATAAAATAGCTAATTTGTCAATCAATCGAATCTATAACAACTTAACGAGGTCTTGTATGTGGAATTCGAATTAGACTAAATTTTCCCAATATTCCTAGTGTTCATATTCACATGGGGTAATATTGTAAAAATGAATCAAATCATACAAATAAAATGTCACTGAACCCAACACTTCAAATCGGTTACTGATGCCTGCAATCTAAATTTTTTCAGAAAAATATCAGGGGGGATACTACTTTTCAAAAGAATTTGCATCTATGTCTTTTTCGATTTTAAATTATATCTTAGGTATCTTTGACCTGCTTTTACATAAAAACTTTTGAAGTAAATCTAAACAGACAGCATATTGCTCATTAATAATTGATGTGCTTGAAATATTGATGGTTTTTACATTGAAACATCTCATCAAAAATATTTTCGTTATGCAATAAAAGTAATGTAACAAGATTTATATTGTTTCGATGGCCATGCACCCATCACAGCACAGACTCATTTTTTTTTACTAAATTCACCAAATGCAAATCATTCATTTATTCACTTAATTATATATTCAATGTGCTGAAAAGAAAGATTCCAGTAAAGAAATATTTTTTATATAAAATTTATGATTTATGTACAAGAGTCCTGCTGTACACTAACAGAAATGTAGTCATTTACAACAACAGCTTGTTGTAAACTGCTTGTCTGAGGAAGTCTGATTTTGGTCTGACGAAACGTTACAGTAATAAAGTTTATGTTTGTGTGCAGCTGGACTCTTGAATTGAATAGTATGGTGTTTTTATTCATGCAACAGCATCCTTGCTTTATACGCTTTCGGTATTGGGGAAGGATTGGGAGTTAGTCTCGTGCAACCCCTCAGCTAACATTCTGAGAAGTAATTGTCAAAACATATTCTTGCAGATGCAAATCGTCAGTGTTGGTGCTTCTGGTCTAAAGGCATGGATGGAGTAGGACAGAGAGAAGTTGCTTTAATATTGGAAAGAGAAGGACTTGGTGATAGAAGAATTCCACATGACGCATTCACTTTTTTCACTTGCATTTTTGATCGAGCTAGAAAAGGAAAGATGTTCAATACAACAGATTTTATGCCTGTTACTATGCTTGGGTGAGCTTTTTGTATTTATATTGGGATTTATATTATTTATAAATTGGAATTTAAAATTATCATCCAAAATGGAAACTCAGTGGGTAATTGCTGCTGGGTGGGTAGTCATTTCAACTGTCATAAGAAATTTTGAAAAATATTTTCTGTTTTGTCCATTCACCGAATCTAATTCGTAATGATTTCAAATGCTTGGAAAAATTTATCGCAGTATATCTATTATAGATATATAATTGAATCAGAACGCAAAAACTGAATTATGATTTATAAAAAAAATTATGATTTTGTGACACTATGTTTTTGCAATCTTGAAGGTTCGATGACAATGATGAATTATTCGGAAAGAAGGAAAATGCTGGCTTCATGTTCGTACAAGCTTCTTCACAACCACTCGATGGCCTCGGCTGCTTGAAAAGAAAGTTAAAACATGTTTCTGGTATGCACTTATATCTGAAATAACTCCTTTTGCTTTGTAACTGTTAACATTATTGATTCCTGGCACAAAGACAGGACTTAAATATTTATCCCGAGAGGAGATGGCTTATTCATATTGCAAACCACGGCCTCTTTTTCGTTTACCAGTCTATGTCAGGTATGGGAATAGCCAGTTATTGATTTTGAATGCGAAAATTTGACAGTGGAGAACCACTATACGACGGCGAGGAGTCAACAATCCTCTCGCACATTATTATCCCCTACAGCAGGGGTTCCCAAGCTTTTTTCAGGATGCCCCCAAAAACAACTTTCAAGTGTCCAGTGCGACCCCAGGTCAATATATATATTTTTCATGAAACTTTAGAGCTCCTTTCACTGGACTTTTGAGTTTGGTCATGTGGTGGTATTACTATTAAGTAAAAAATAAGGTAAAACCATACAGTGATGTCACAATAAGCACCTTACATTTTCTATTGTATAAGCATAGAGCGATGCTTATGGGCCTGTTTACAGTGAGCCATGGTACAAACTGCTAAATTTAACATGGTTTGTCAAATCTTTAGTCGATTTGTACATCCATCCTCTACCATACCTCAGCAACCCCATGACCTGTTTGCGACCCTACCTACTTATCCCTCCGACCCACTTTGGGGTCGCGACCCCTGGTTTGGGAACCCCTGCCCTACAGGATACAAAACTGCTTTTACAAACTCATTTCTAGAACCAAAAAAGAAGTCATTGATAATAATTCACATCAAATTCTAGACTGTAAGTAGTAACTACTGTGAGTATTCTATTGATACTTTCATCTTGTCAAATATTCAAACTTTACTATGTACCTTGGGTTCTAACAACCAGTGATGGAGAAGATGAATCTTACATCAGACTCCTAAAGTTCGAACCATTCGAAAAAAAGTATATGCCAGCACTTGCTCACAATAATTCCGATTTAGACTCTGGCATACGCTTTCTGATCTATAAATAAAATTGAGCTTTTCTACTCTCAGGTGAATTGAATAATACTGAAGATGACTTAGCCATAAGATCTATGTTATTCGCAATACTTGTACAAAAGACAGAAGCGCCGTGGGCTACTTTATTTCCAATGAGGTTGATGCTACGACTTGGGATGGAAACGAAACGTAAGCAATCTGAATATAATGTTTTTTTCACATGATTGAGGTTGGGTTAAGAATAATTCTGTCTTTGTTTTTTGAATCATTCCAAATATTGGAATCACCCATATTGAATTACAGATAAAAATAAGCAAACAGTGATTATATCGATAAACGATAACGATTAAGGCCAAGTAAATATTGTATAAAATAAACATATTAACTTACAAATTGTATTTTATTGAAACAAATATTGATGAATAAATAATGCCAGTCAGTACTGACATGAAAATCCTACTATTTACAAATATGCTCAAGTCCAGCTTCTGAACCTTCAAAGGAAATCAAATAGAGTAGGAACAAAATAGTTGCAAGCTAGTATTGCTTCCATGAGAGCTATATATAGGTGGTTTCTCTCTTTTTGTAGAGGGTGCTTTTTTGCGACTCTCACTCCAAATCTTTCAGGTCTAGAATTGCCTACTCAATTTTTTATTACCGTGTTGGGTATGGAATTTCAACCCAAGACGCCAACATAAGTCTAACGCATTAACCATTTTATCATTGCGACAAAACTGGAGTAGATAGTGTTGACATGAAACTTGGAGCAATTCAAGTAACAATTATTTGGTTTGGGTGCAATTCCAATAAGTCATTTCAAATTCTTCCTATCCTAACCCACTTAGTGAGTACAAGGGCTGAGAGCATTCCAGTTGTATCCCAATAGTCAAAGCACTAATTGCCTAGTTGTTACTTATCGATCTTGATCGGTAAGTATGTTGATAGGTATTTGTATGTCTGTGTGTTAGATGCACGCGATATCTCACGAAAGCGAGGTTCAATCTGCTCCCAATTTTGCATGTGCATTCATCTTAGCTCGGATCCGAAGCCTATTGATTTTGGATGGATAATGTCGTATAATTAGCGAGTTATTAATTAATTAGTGATGGGACACATGGTGTCACTATGGAGTAAGACCACTGTTTTGGGGGATCCCCTAACCTTCGATCGATAAGTCTTCGGTTTCCAACCGAATTCTAGTTTCTTCTTTGCCGAAATATATGTTTCTTCCTGCTGCTTTCACTATTTTTTGTAATTACCATTACCGACATCGACCTACTACTTTCTATCCCAAACTTACAGAGTTCTAGAAGTTCCGTAATTAAGACATTGAATTGTTTTAGGCAAGTTTACTGATTCCATTAAATTGATTTTTTTTTCAGAATATCCATGTCCCCTTTTCTCTGTGAGGCAACGTCAACCGGTATATCACGAACTAGGTCACACTATTCTAGGAATTTTATGTGATTTCAGAAATTTTAAATATCGTGTCGTCAGTGTGCCAGGTCTGAGGGTTGTTGCAACAGCAATTGGGAACGTCAGTGTTCAAATACCATGCAACAGGTACTTTGTAGCATTACTAAGTATGCTGTATTACTGTGTTTAGGCTGATTGCTTTGGAAAAACTAGTAACTAATCAATTGACCAATTAAGGACTATCCGATTTGAAATCTTCAATTCCCAAAGAGGCTAAAAGGCTTACTTTTATATTACTATCAAATTCAAAGTCCACTGGGGCACAATATTTCACCCTAAATTTTGTGATTCCACTGGGGCACAATATTTCACCCTAAATTTTGTGATTCCACTGGGGCACAATATTTCACCCTAATTTTTGTGATTCATGGGCACACTTCTATATGCTAATTGGTACAATCAATCAATCTGCTCTTCTGTCCATTTGAGTATTACTCTGTTGTTCTAGGGTATTTTCATACCATCACTTCTGAACAAGGATCCATATAGGCAGTATTTAGGACATAGAAAAGTACTATAATATGATTCACAATAAAGACAACCTTTTGGACTAGAACAACTTGGAATTATGTCAAAACTAACTAGACTTGAACTCAAGATCTCTTTCTTGTAATGCCATTACACCATGATTTTAATGTGCAATATATCAAATTCATTGAAAAATATTATTTACGGTATTACAGATTCACCGACACAGTTAAAATAATGAACAGTTCTAATGAATCTGTCCTTGCCATCGGAACTGGAACTTTTGGTCCGAAAATTCGAACACAGGATGAGATGGGAGCACCATGTGATGGGCCATGTGAATCTCATCTTGTATGTGTGCAGGATCAAAATACTTCAAGTTATCACACAGAGATATTGAATATGAAGGTTAGACTTTAGCCTCAATAGAGTTGTATCTTTTGAATAAAACTCTTTTCATACTTAAAATCAGATTTATTTATACAATAAAAAAAATGTGATATTTTGTCTTGTGTAGATATTTTGACATAAACAATAATATCCATTGTCAATCTCACCTCACCCGTAGCTTACAAGGGGCTTTTGAGTCAGACATTTGAGTTAATTTTTTTTAATTTTCATAAGTCCAAATTGTAGTTTTACTTTTCTGAAAGTGTGAAGCTGGATACAACGGTTTTAACAGTAACTGAAAGAGCATAACTTGATCTAGAATTTCATACAAAATGAAGTGGATATATAACAATTTTCTTGGTCCTTATTTACCTAGTTATTTTGTAGTCTGGACTATCAATACAGAATTTATAGTAAGAGTGAACACTTTTGATGACTTAAATCTCAAATCAATTATTTCTGCATTGTTCGCAGGCCACAATAGTGCCAAGAATAGGTAAACAATGCAATACAAAACAAACACTTTTATTGTGCAAACACATAGTTATCAGACATAGTTATTCCAGGCTAATAGAATCCGCATTCGATTTTTAGTTTTCTATGATGCCTATATTGTAAGCATATATTCCCAACCAAAAAGATAGAAAGCCGGATAATAATTCAGACTGCCAAGCACATCATTCAACTTCGCTAGTTGCCTCAGATAGCCATAACACTAGTCCATTCAGTGACATTCTTGATGTAACAATATGTCAAAAGATTTTTCTGATTAATTTTATTACGAAACAACACGAAGTGCGATTTTTTGATTACTTTCGGAATGTGACGCGGGCCGCAGATAATGAAACAGCGGGCCACATGTCGCCCGCGGGCCTGGGTTTAGACCATCCTGACTTAAATACTTAACCTCTTACTCAAACTTGTAAAAAACATCACATCGCAAATAGTTAAGAATATCCCATGTTGTTTTTACAGGACATCAAAGCCTCAAATACAGGAGCTGCTTTTGTTATTTTCAATGGTTCGTTAAAATCTGACGGAAGTAACAAAGCAAAATGTGCAATAGTAGAAGGTAAGATCCAATTTTTCTCCACATCTTTTACATGGGAACATTGTTTAAATTTGTTATTTTTGGTGCAGATGGAATTATGATCCAACTTCTGCCAGAAAAAATGGAGGAACTAAGAGCTTCATTAAGATCAATGGAAGATTTCAGATTGCAAATGGGACCTGATGCTCATTCGTCTTCAGTTACAGAGGTAGTTGGTTCTCTGAATTTTATATTTTGGTTTTCTCATTTTAAATCTAGGTTTCCTCTACTATGGGTTAGGTTCTAAAAATTAGTAATTGTGAAGAATGCGTGTATTGTGTATCAAACTTAAATACAAAATTGAACTTATTTATGTCAAGTTTCCTGCTTAGTGCATCTATTTCTTAGTATCCGAAAGGACAATAAATGAAACTATTGATGGTGGCACATTATATTTTGTTGATATTGAAATCAGCACTCACTCTCATTACTCTTCTATTCGAGAGTTATAGTAAAGTATTTCTATGCTACATTTCATCAGCTTACAAATCTGTCTGAACTAACATCACAGGATTCGCCAATGATTGAAGTGAAATGGGTTGAAGATGATACAGCCTTCAATATTGGGTATGTTCACCACTTATTTGAATTAAGAAATTGTATCACAATATTGCACTAAACATGAATAAAACTAATGATACTTAAACAGTTATTAATCACTGCACTAACAGGACTTTATACAGATTACTATACCCAGCAACTCGTTAATGTTTACTTTTTTCACCATTTCAGAATGTTTAGTCCCATTGATGGAACTCCGTTTGAAGGTGTTGTTGGATTCAATGTTCAAGGCAGGAGTGAACAGAAAGGAAGAAAACACACACTCAGATGGAATCAGGTACAGAGAAGTTGTTGAACTATACGAAGGTCTGTTGTTTGGCTACCAACCTGATTTGTATAAGGAATGGCTATCCAGTTATTGTTGCAGAATGCGGATGCAAGGATATGGTTGGTGTAGGGCAGAGGTTCTCAACCTCATAGTAGGTCTACAAATCAGGGATAAATTTGACCTGCATTGGAAGAGGGAAACTACATGATCAAATGTGGACGTTGACTATCAGTCTGTCTAGCCTAGTTTCACTGTTTGTATTACACTTGGACCACAATGCAAAATTTATTGTTGCAGGTTTTTTTTCTTGCAAGTACGAGTGATCCACTTGACATGAGTAGATTAGCAGAGCAAGTAGCAAATGGATGTTTCCTAGCTTTAACTCCAGTATTGCATGAACTAGCAAGACACAGGCAAAATAAACTTGCTGTCAGGGTTACGATCCACCCTGAAAATGTAAGTTGAAAAATTGTTTTCAATTTGAAAAGAAATAGATACATCTCCAGTAAATTTGTGTTTTCCTGTTTATTAAATTATATTTAATTGATTAATCTAATTCATTTGGTAATTTGTCAATATTAATCCATCTTATTGCATCTGCATAATCAATGTATCAAACTTATACTAATCCCCTTTATATAAACTGCTTCGTGGATTTTATTAGTATTCTTGTGGTAATCCATGACCATGGCTTTGGCTCCATAGCCAACCAGTAAGCAGATGAAACCTAAGTCTTAGCTTGTCCAATGCCAGTTTAGTTCAGTTTCTCATATTCATTATTGTTATTGAAAACACTCAATTTCTGAAGCATTCAATGTGTTGGACTTGCCTTTTAGGGGCTTTTGTCCTATCAGAATATCTTGTTTCATGTGTATTATTTTAAATGCTCATATGCAGTTATTATTATTTATATAAGGAATGAGAAAAATATTAATATGAAAATGACTATTACACAGTTAGGAATTGAAACCACTAAGATTCCTGGTAGCTCCGGCTCCAGATCCCCAGTTCTGGAGAAAAAATGGTTTCCGTATTTAGAAAAGACAAAATTTCAATTTTTAGGTCGGATATGTCGCTGGAAGTGGATTGAAAGATCTGCCAACACCATGCATGAATGCTCTTGATGAACATTTAATACAAACAATACATAGTGCTGCAAACAGTGTTCCTGTAGAACAGGAGGCTGTCATCATTGAACTTCTTTTCTCTATTTTATTATCAAGACCTGGATATCGCACTGCTTAACACAACACACAATTGAAAGCGATCGCCATAACATGTTGCCACCACAGTCTTGAATAAGGGATCAGTCCAATACTTTATATGTACCACCATCGATTTTTAAGACTTCAAGCTGATACTGCTCATTCAAAAATATTGATCAAGCTTTCCAACAGGTACAGCATATTGTAAATGAAGATATCCATGCCTGATAACAGTCTCTGATTCCATTAATAGCTTTTAGAAAATGTTATTTGAACACAGATATATGCTCTGAAACCATGGCCATTTTTAGAAGTTACAAGTCGCGTTATTCTCAACGACCATCTATGAATAAATAATTTCTAAAAGATTGATCTGGTGACCGCTAAATATTTTTAGCCAATTCTTATTCACACCATATTTGTTAGAATATTGAACTCTGATTGTTTTGAGGCTACAATATGGAAACCAGTATCTTACCGTCTCAATTACATACAACAGACTTTCAGTAAAATCATTGATAAATCACTTAAAACTATGGGAGCCACCTATTCTCTCCAGTGCAAATTTTCTCAAGTCATTACCAGTGCGAGTTGTTCCATTTACTCCATGACTGTTTATTACCCATCGCAATTATTGTAATAATGGCTCAAAGCATCTACACTTCAAACTCAAGTCGTGGCGTGATATGTAAATTTTGTTATCTTCTTCAATGCAAGTTAAAGTATTATATTTTGTAAATAAGATTACATTGCCTATATTATACATCAATATATTTTCTTCTTGTTTCAAAAAGGTCGCTCTTTTTTGTTGTTTTTTGTTATGTTGTTACAGAAAGAAATCAGTATTTCTATTGTAAGATTCCTTTTTGCTGAGAACTACTTTAACATAATTAAAATGTTTGATGTGAATTCCCGGACTTGGAATTCAGACAAGTCAGCCTTAAGTTTTCTTAACAGTCCTAAAACTAACATTCTATTAAAAGTTCACAAACGCCTATGTTTTCGAAAGTTGATTTCAAATCTAAAACCCGGAGTCACAGTCCAATTCATCATGATCTGGAGTCTGAACTAAAAATTGAGTAGATTTTCCTTGGCTACACATCCCAGATGTAGGATCATTTGTGATTTACTTCATTATTACAGTATGCAGTTTGTTTATAGCCATTCAATAATTTTAGTCAACAAACTCAGGTGGGTGTGACAAAAACATAATTGGAGAGAATATATCTTTGTTCTGTGGAATTATGTATTTTTTCATGCTTATGTCACAGCTTGAAACTTATTCTACTATTACAAAGCATCTTAACTTTCATATTCTGATGAAATAAATCTGATAATTTAATATCCGCATTGTTTTAAGTGTGAATTGTAGATGAGCTAGCGCCCTATTGTTTAAGAAAATACCCCATGCTGTCTTGGGTCTGAACAACGCTTGATTTGGGAGAGAGCTGTGAGCAAGTAATTTGTAGAGGGACACAAAATTGCATGCTCTACGAACACAAACTGAATTTGTGGCTTTGATTTCAATTTTGCATTGTCCCCTTCGGCACCTTTTTGATTGGAGCCAATCATATTTCAGTTTCCTCTAACAGGCTCGGAGCCTGAGTAAGGAAATTTGGTACTCCCGCAGTATGTGTACTAGAAAAGGCCATAAATTTTATTCAGATTTTCCTCATTTAGTTCAGTCCCTTCACGCAACTTGATGTAACATAGGCGAACTATATTAGTTACCTCCATATTGACACATACTTCTGAAGCACTGAAAATTTTCTATACAAAGCTTTGACAAGTGACAAGAAGATAATATTTTAATTAAGTAAAAAATTCATCAATTATTAAGCACGAATAGTGGGTTTAGGATGCAACAAGATTTCAACAGTCTTTGACAATGGGAGAATTCCAATGTTAGATCCTTCTTCATGGGATCTTCCAGTGTTGAATACTTTAACAAATTGCATCTTGATAAGACAAGCATCTGTCCATTGCTGATGGCTGATAAACACCTGCAATTAAGATTTCTTAAGTGAACGGAAAAAATGTAAAGACACTATCACATTACTATCTCCCAATTTAGGATTCCAATATTTATTTAAATAGCTATTCCGCCATGTGTTTCATGTAAAATCCTTAATAAATCTGTGAAAATCAAAATTGTGTAAAGTGCCATAAGCATAACTTCACTATGGAAAATTTACTAACTTAAATCATGATTTTGCGTCCTTAAAAATCATATTTATAGCTCACAAATTACATTTTTATAATGAATTATGTGGTATTATGTCTCTACTCACCCCTTGAATATTAAATACAATTAGCCTGCCGTAAATAGCAATTAGTCAAAGAATTTACCTTAGTAATTATTCGATGCTCCATTGCAGATATTTGTTTGATATCCTGTGGTTTTAACAGAACCATTTGAACAGTTGAATCTGGATATTTAATCTGTATTCTCACATCACGCAATGGGTTTGGGATATTTGTTGAAGTAGCATCCACATCTAGAGCAGTAGTTAATCCTGCTGAAAAGGATATACTGGAATCTGTCCGAGAAAGAGGAGTATGAACTACGACCTTTGACTCCCGAACTTTGTTGGAGAAAGTGACATTAGATACACTGTAATGCAATAACAATGGTTGAAGCAACTTAATAACTAATGAATATTTTTTCGTTGGATCCAACTTTAACACTTCGTTGAAAAGTGTTTTTGAAAATGAATCAGGTATATGATTGTGCGTTTCCAAATACTGATGAACATCTTTTATAGTGTTAAAGAATTTCTGGCATCTCAATGAAAGAGAAGACGTTGACACATCTTTTTGATTCATTAGGTTCTGCATATCCATTAGGAACTCCAATGATTGTGCTTTCAGGCACATCTGCCTGAGAAGAGCAATTTCGTCCGTACTCAGACCAAGAAACAAATGCTCTAGTTCTTGTGTTAGTCTCTCAATTTTTCTAGCAGCCGGTCTTGTGGATTCTAAATGTTGAGTGCAAGCCAATGCAGATCCAGACCACGCCCTGGTATCAACTATTTCTGATAGAAGTAGTTGGGCTTGCAAAAAATTTGCTGAGCTGGTAGCAGTCGATGAAAGCTTTGGCGCAATGTTAGAAATGTGTTTCAAATCATTGATGGTACAAGTGAGAAGGCTTTTTTGTGTCCTGCTGTCATGAAGTTGTAGATTTTTAACACGTTGTAGTGCTTTGTTTAAAAATTCTGCAGGATCTGATGCACCTTCAGACCGTCGAGGTGGGGAATTCATACACGATTCATCTCCATTTGCAAAAGTCGTTAGTTTAATTTCTTGCGGTACTAAATCAGGTATACTGTCACGAAGATACTGATAATGCCTTACAACATGCTCTGGGAATATTTGCGTCATTTTTGGACATAATTCCGCTGCATTAAAAACAAGAATAAGAACGCCAATATAACCTGGGTCGTCCATCTTTGGTTCAGGCATATCAAAGTAAGGATGGCATGATAGTAAATGCGGAACAAGCAAATACACCAATTGGCTATGATGCTTTCCTATGTGTTTATAAGCTTTCCAGATAGACATTCGGTCCTGTGGATATTTATTGAGATTTTTGAGCAACTTCATAATTGTATCATTAAGACAGAATTTTGATGTCAAGGTACAATTACTTAGCAGTAAATGTATTCCTTCTCTTATTTCAACACAGAAATCTTCCATTCCCGCTAATACGTTTTCCAATTGGTCTTCAAGAAGAGCAACATTCTGCATGATCTTATGTAAAGAATTGACTGCATTCAATCTTACGGCTTCAATTTCATCATTAAGACAATCAACAAGAAAATCCAAAGCTGCTTGAGGAAATTTTGAATTGATACGATGACATGCAAGCTCTGTAAGAGAATCAACAGCAGCAGTTCGTACTTCTAACATTTCGTCTTCGAGGCTGTGAACAAAGGCACCACAAGCTCCTCCAATTATAAGCTGGTTAGCTTCCGTATCTACTTCTTTGGGAGCGTCATCCGCCCATTTAGCACCAGAAGAGAATTCACCCACATATGCCTCTTTTGCTTTTTCGTTTAGTGATTTTTTCTTTTTTAAATCCGACATCAATTTTTTGTCCAGAGTTTGAAAAAGAAATGAATTACTAACTAGGTGCATGGAACCTAGAAGTCCAGCAGCAGCCGCTCTGACTTTATATGAACTGTCATTCACCATGTCACACAGTTTTACAAAAGCATCATCTACAAGTCGTAGTTTTTCATCTGACATTGAAACAGATACCTCACTTTCTGGGTATATGTTGCTCATTATCCAGACAAGTTTTAAAGCAGCAACTCTCACAGCTTCATAGTCATCAGAAAGAGCTGAGCAAGCTTGATTATACACATGAAGTTCTAAGTTTTGTCTTCTTTGATGGAGCAATATCATTGCTTGTAATGCACTACATCGTACTCTTGGTTCTTGATCTCCAAAGAAATCTCCAAGAAGTGTTTGTATGTTCACTTTATTGCTTTTACTACTACATGGTTCAGTCGATTTCTCAATTTTTCCGAGGTTACCAATCAGTATAAGACACTCGCTTCGAACTTTATGGTTTTTGCTAAGCAATGTTTTGCAAGCAAGTTCAACAAGGGTTTCATGTAGTTCTCGTTCATTCGGGAGAATTTTAGCGCAATTAGTGAGAACGGACCAAAGTTGTGACAATACTTGGCTCGATTTTTCAGATTTAAGGAGTGAAATAATACTTTTCAGTGTGATCAGAGCATTAAATCTTGCTGTTTGACACAAATTCCCTATTAACCAAGCAATCTTTGTTCGAACAGATGAATCTTTCTCATTTGCAAACAGTTTTAGTAGCTCGAGAACATTCTGCCGTACCTGATTAGGAGGTATTGGAAGCTTTTTTGAGAACTGAATCAGGGATTGAAGTTTTTCTTTTGAGCTGTCAGAATCTTTGACTTTTACAATTGTCTGTTTTTCTGTTGAATCTAAAAACAAATGACGAAGATAATGGTTAAGTTTGTTTTTCAATATGAACTGAAACAAACAGGTGATAGATCAATATAGTTATTCAATTAGCCAGCACTGGAATGAAGTACGGTATTAAATTTATTTTACCGTCATGTGTAAATCAATTTAAAACATATGAAAAATCCGAACAAAAAAATCCAAATTTATACAGGAATATTTGTTTTCAGTGTTTTAACCTAACACTCACTTGAACTTTTTTTAATTAGACGTAGCCGTTTTGGTGTGCTAAGGTCGCTTTGGATAACATGGCTGAATTCTTCACAAGCCCTCTTTTTAAGATGAACCGCCATTTTCATGCGTACAAATCTCTCGATCCGTACTCAGAACGAACAAGATCGACTACCACAAATTCTCTGTGAAGTCTGTGAGCGAGTATACGTCATACAAGACAATCGTTTGTGCATGATTAACTGGATATTCCAATTTTCAACCTTTGACCTAATTGTCCACGATTCTTGGAATTAAATTAAAATAATACACGATACTTTCAAAAAATCTCATAGGTATCTTCTGACTTGTAAAATATATTGTTTTTACTTGTTTCTGTTTATTAAAAGTAGAAGAGAGGAAATATCTTAGCTTATAAAATCTCTCTCTTTCTCTGTTTTATGTTTGTCGCCATCTATCAATCAAACCTGTCGCAAATTCTTCGGTTACTATCGGGCTATTTTGTATATCCTCGCGCTTTGGCCTGAGTGGTGGTGTTGTGTTTCCGTGTTTTTCTTGATTATCAGTGTACAGTAGTACGTACCGTATATCATCGACTACGGTACAGTAACTGGTAAATATAGGCTAGTTCAATGGTTGTAAATATGAATCAGAGATTATTGTTGATACCTGTACCGGTACCGTCGGCATTTCTCTGCGAATATTTTAATATTGGTAATGCTGTAATGCGGGTTTCTGATTCGGTTATGCTGTTATGGTACGGTACCGGTACCCACCGTAGTTGCGGAGTTAGGTTGACTGGTTGTTGTGCAGTTTCAGCTCATGACTCTTCTGCTGTTTGAGGGTATCGGTGTTCACAACAAAGTACCGGTACCGTACTTCTAGGTGGCGTGGCACAACCATTTTTGTTATTTATCATACTGTCATATGTTATTTATAACCCCCACCAGACTATCCTACGTCATTCAAAAATGATGTAACTAGGTACGACATCACAGTATTGTAATAAGGCCCCCCCAAACTATACTAACTGTCATCCAAGATGCGCAGACCCTAACGCGGTTCGGTAGTTGTGGAGTTAGGTTGTCTGGTTGTTGTGCAGTTTTAGCTGGGTCTTACTACTTACTGAATACAGCGCGAAACACCACAAAGAGCGCGAAACAGCGCAAAACAGAAGAAAACAGCACGAAACAGAAGGAAACCATCGCAAAACAGCGCAAAACAGGAGACGCAGTCATTACCACCTCCTGCCACCAAAGAACCACGGCGTCTCTCGCCATGGTTTTATGGCGGTATTTCCAGTATATTTACAAGGTTATGTACCGGATTATAGATCATCATGCGAAATTTTATCTTACTTTTTGGTGCTCCAGAAGTATGTGCAGCGATATGTCGCACAACCTGAATCCGCTACACACACACACATACTATTTTCAGGTTGTGCGCCATCTTGGTGCACATACTTCTGGAGGTCCCTTTTTACCTAACCCTAACCCTAAAGCCAACCATATCCATATGGAAAATGTTTTAAATTATGGTACCCAAAATGTGTCACCAGCAGGGGCAGACCTGCCATTACAGCATTACTGGCTACATACGTTGGTTTGTGTTTTGAATTTGCTGCCGTGGTACTCCAACTCAAACAAGGTGCCCCGAACTCATTGCAAAATTTTTTTCTGCTTCACACTGTTTCCCTCTGTTTTGCGCTCTTTCGCGCTGTTTCCCCACTGTTTTGCGCTCTTTGCGGTGTTTCGCGCTGTATTCAGTAAGTAGTAAGACTGGTTTTAGCTCATGACTTTTCTGCTGTTTCAGTGTTTTAGGGCAGTGTTCTTCAACCTTTTTTACCGTGGTATACCCTTTTCAGTTTTACAATTTTTCAAGAGCTTTGTATACCTTAACAAATATCAATATTTATCCAAGCCCTGGCCTAAATAAACGTTATTAAATTTTAAGCACAGATTGTACTGCAATATCATCATGCAATCATAGTGTTCGCAAGTTATAAACGTTGTAATTTGACAGCCTTAGCGTCAACGGGAATAATGTTGGGGTCTAGTATATAAAAAATTGTTGGGGTCTGGTATAGTTTAGTACCACATCCACTTCTAGTTGGCCTGGCTCAACAATTTTTGCATATGTCAATCCTCACCCCACCTGACTACGTCACCGAAAAATTACGTCATTCCGACGTCACAGTGGCATAATAAGGCTCACCGAAGTATGCGGATGGTCGTCCAAAACGCGCAGACGATAACCCGAAATCGAGCAAGCTATTTCTCTCGTTTTCTCGTCATAACGATCACGATAGGAGAGAGATCGGCGGCGCAGATGCCATTTTGGGCGATCGTAATTGTACTTTGGCAAGCCATATGACGTGTTTGTGACGTCGTATCGACGTATTTTTCGGATGACATAGTCAGGTGAGGGTTAGGAATAACATATGCAAAATTCGTTTTGATACATCAACTGGAAGTACTTGTGGTACTAAACTTTACTAGACCCTAATGTTCAACGCAAATCAAGCAACATGCATGGCAGCCGAAATCACCAACCCAGACACGTGCCCGCATTATCTATATAATTTGTGATGTAACAATGTGCTTAAGTTGGTTATTTGCGTAAATAGCAATTTAAATTTCATGTGCACCCCATTTGCATTGTTGTCTCCGCATGAATATTTTATAATTTATTATATTACAGTTTAGAATCCTCGACTTGGGCTCGTATACCGTTTATCCATTGTATACCCAAATTATGGTCAGGTATACAGTTGGGTATACTGTATACCCGGTGGAAGAGCACTGTTTGAGGGCATCACGTGTTCACAACAAAGTACTTCTAGTTGGCGTGGCACAACCATTTTCTGATTTTTGCATATGTTATTTCATATTTATGTTGCAAAAGAACACTTGATCTTCCATGCAATTCATGTTTACTTTGGGCTCAATCATAAGTGATTTTATCTAAAAATTGCTTTGTATTTTTACTGTCCAGAATTCTTACTAAAACAGACCATGAAAAAGTTACTTAAAATGTAGATTTCATTTATAATTCAAATACTGTCCGTCATGACGAGTCGTTATAGACTAACACCTCAAAATACGAGTAGTTTGGAAATACGTGGATGGTCTCGTGGAAGTGCTATCGATAATAATACAAGGAATAGATATTTGGTTCCGAGCTCTAGTTTGGATTTAATAACCTTCAATGAAGATTATAGGAAAACTGGACTGAGACATACGCCAGGTGCTGAGTCAGATGATGATGACTCAACAATAAAAGGTGGCTCCAGTGGAGGGGATTACCCTCCACCAAAAGCATTGCCTGGTGAAGATGCATTAACAGTTTCTGAGTCTTCACATTATTGGTCTGGTGCAAACAGTTCAACTACCGGAAATACAACTGAAAGAAGTTCGTTATATTCATGGGGAGATGATGTCTTGGATCACAAAACTAGCCGCGATGTCCAAGACATGTTTCAAGCGATTGAAAAAATGTTATTTGAAAGTGTATTGTCTGGAAGTTCACTTCTGCAACATGAATGTCGAGAATGGATGGATGCATTCCCGCATTTGAGAATTCTAGGAAAGCAGACTGCTCCGGTACGAGATGAAGGGTTTCAATCTCTTCCTTCTAGTCAAAACGTAAGCGGAGTTGCAACTCCTGTATCAGAACCTCATATTCCCGAAAGTTCAGACTCTTCGAACCTGGTGCTTTCTGGGTCTTCTATAACACCGTCTCCCATCCCAGTGCGATATATGTTAACTTCAGATATTTCTAGTGAATCAAGTCATTTCACAGACTTATCTCATCTGCATGAAGAAATTTTTGAGCAAGATGGAAGTGTAGAAGAGTACTTGGCATATGATATTCGTGAAATGGATGAAGATGAAACTGCTAAACGATACCATGTACCAAGAAGACGTAGGCTTGGTTACCCACCGATTACTCCCAATGCATGTGTTCGAGATGCTGTCATTAACCAGTTATTCGATCTTACTTGGGTGAAATTGATATCAAGCCTTGATAAAGTAAAAATTGAAAACGAAGCAGCAAAGAAGACAAACAAATCTTTGTGGAAAGTTCTTTTCGACAACTATCGGTCGGCAATGAAACAAATCGAGGATAATGTAAAATCTGTTGATAATGCTGCATATTTGTATCAAGGAACATCTAAATCCTCTTTTGCTTTTTTTTATGATCAAGATGAAAGAGGTGGGTTTGATGATGGCCCGTATCGAGGAAATTTTGATGATCGCAATATTAATCCTAATGCTCTATTTGTTTCTAATTCTGAGCATTTTCATGGACGTTTGCCTCCTCCATCAAGGGGAGGGTACCTAGACCAAAATCTTGCTGGTGGCAGAATGTCTGGACGACTTTCAACCACAGATTTTCAATCTCTGGATGGAGTTATGAAAATAAGTAGGAAGAAACTTCAAGTTCGTACTGACAAACCGAATGGTGCAGCCAATCAGGACAGTTCTTTAGAGTTGGTGATGCATCCAATGGATACTGCAAATCTTTATGGTAGGGAGTTTAATACTTCACGGCTTCAGTTGCATGGCACATCTAGCCCCCAAGTTCGTTCACATTTTTCACTTCATGGCATTACCAACAGGCAACAAAGTGCAAAAAATAAGGGTAGGACTGCTGGTAGGCCTGCTCGTTTGCAGCCTCTGGGTGATAGAGCAAGAACACCGACTGGTGGGTTTGATGGTATGGCAGCAAAAGGAACCAAACTGCCTATTGCATCAATGGGACATAATGTTTTTGATGGACCTTCTGAAATAGTAGGAATTAGAGTGATGTCACCGACTGATCCTCCACCCACAGCACCTGCGAGTTCTGGAGGTAATCTCTATTCAAGATTACTCCCACCATTGGAGGCAGTAAATGAAAACGCTTCAATTGAATTTAGTAAAAATAAATTGAGGGGTCGTGTTGGAAGAATATCTAGCGCGATCGCTGATGACTCATTTGCGAAACAAACGTGGAGAGGGGGCTGGGAGGGCGTGTCACGTCCAAACACAACACAAGCTTTTCGAAACGATGGTCATTTTAGACAACGGGCATCTCCCCTCACTCCTAATTTTTCAACAAGGATAACTGGTGCTCGGGGCTCATTACAAGTTATTAAGTCATCCAGTCCAACAGGATTAGGTAACATGTTTTATCCACAAAATTTCGGGCATAGCCCTGATAACCAAATACCTGGGTTAGCAGGAATTCATGGCATCAGTATGCTGGGTCATTCTAACCCTGTACAGTCTCCCGATGAACATGATGATGATGGGAGAACATGGGGCAATCCTGTTAGACGTAAACAACTAATTGGAAATTAATCTACCGGTAAATAGAAATATATTTTTTCTTGTATATAAAGGAAATCGTTTTTTTTTTTACTGTTTATTTTTCCTGGTGGCACCATTTTGACTTTTTTACTCAATGCTGATATGTTAAGGCTCTAGTGTAATTGTCACATCAAAAAATTGTTTTGTCAAGCTTTTTTATACATTCTTTCTTCAGTATTTCAATGTTTGTCAGGAATAATGTAATGATACTCAGATCAGAACATTCATGTTAATATTTTAATGAATTTGACTTCTCGCGAAATATATGCGGAATTAGGAAGTTTTTCTATTCTGATTCAATGACCACAATCCTTGAAATAAGCTGCTATTGTACAGCGACTCCGTAATTTGTTCAGCTCTCCCATCTATCTTGATAAAAGTCTATATCGGATTTAAAAGATTAACCTTTTTTTATTAGCTGAAGCATGGTTTGCATATATGCATATGCCCTTATAATTTAACACAAAGAATGATTACTCTGACTGAAATCTTAAAATCTATAACAGAAGACCTAAGATTGATTTTGGTATGTTCAGGGTGTTGTTTGAACCAAGAAAAAATATTCAACCTATAGGTGTACTCCTTTACATATTGTTGTCTTATTAATATTATTTTATACTATTCCTGTATTTATTTACCTTTTTGTCTAGTCCTACCTGCCCACTGTATTGTTACCAAAGTCAACTTTCACTGTTTTCATACAATTAAAAAATTGAGATGCCCACATAAAATTTTTAACATGCTGTTGGCTCTCTTCAGCCTGGAAGATTACTGATTACTGACTACGAATTTCTTGAAAGTTCTAAAATGAATTATGTGCAGAAGGATATCCTACATTAGCTCAATTCTAACTTTTATACAAGTAGTTTCTAATGAATTTACTCTGATAATATTGGTAGGCTATCAAAGAAGCTGGGCCATCTTTACCAAAAACATTTAATTTAACAATATCTACGTTATTTTATTTATATTATGTAATAGTCTCACTTTTGTATTTTATTTCTAGTTATTAGCACTGTGTTGTACATTGAGTCGGTGCTAGCCTATTTTTGCCTTGTTTTTGTACACAATTGTGTATCATCAATCCTATAACTAATTATTGAATTATCATTACGTTGAATTGAAAAATTATAACCTTTAAAAATATGGCTCCAATTTTTCCTATTCTACTTTTTTCTTAGATTGCTTACCGGTACCATATTTCCTAATTCATGTAAGATGTCTAGCAGGACACATCATGGCTCATTTGATCCCTCAATTATTTAATAAGTCCATAAGGCTTTCATCCTGAGTTTGGGTTAGTTTAGGCTGTTACATGCACTGATGTAAATCTCTAATTATATCTTTTTTTTGTCAACGTATCGCAATCGTGATAGATTAGATGCGCATAATCTGACTATAGTTAGTTCACAACATTACGGTACATATTTTTAAGTGTCTTAATGAGATGAACCAGTTTAAAAACATTTTTTGATTGTGTTTTCACCAATTTTATAATTAAGATGGACTTTAACCACTTCATAACAGATTTAATCTGAGCTGATCCATAGGACGAGAATTAAGGGAATTCCCATGTGTCATTTCAGTCAGTCAGCTCCATGCTCTAAATTCCAATGATACAATAATTTATTTTTGATTGGTCAATAGTCAATAATCATTTATAATTGACATTTTTTCCTGATATTGCTTCTTTGACAACCAACCTTTGGATTTTTTGAAATGTTTTTTTTTTAAATTCTTTCTCATTTTCATACCAATACTAAAACGAGAATATCGGTCGGAGACCGAAGACTTAACGATCGATTCATGCGCTCTTACTCCATAGTGACACCCTGTGTCCCGTCACTAATTAATTAATAACTCGCTAATTGTTTGACATAATTCATCCAAAATCGATAGGCTTCTGGTCCGAGATATGATGAATGCACGTGCAAAATTTGGAGCAGATTCAACCTCGCTTTCGTGAGATATCGCGTATATCTAACAGACAAACAAGCAGACAAATACCTATCAACATACTTACCGATCAAGATCGATAAGTAATGATCTGTCCAACATCAGAACTAGGACCAGGCTATCCCAATACTGAGACGTCATCAATTAAGTATATATGTGTATTAATTATATATTGTATGTTGAGATGTTTCAGCTTTTATGTAATTTGCTGGATAGAAACTATTTCATGATTCAATTTTGACCTGGTGCGCCATACCGCCTTACATTATCACCTCATAATTTTGAACTAGAGCAGTATAAAGTACTTAGACGTATCACATTTGTTGAAAATTTCACATTTTTTACATCTATTGGGACATACTAATTCCTAATTAAATTTGTAGGCAAAAGTTTGTGCATATCGAATCATTTCTTTTATCTATTTCCCTAATTTGTTGTGTAATAGGACGAGAGGCTGCAGTTTCTCATATGATTCATCAACTTCAATATCCCCTGATAAATAATTAACACATAACTCAAGTTGAAGTCATGAAAACTCGTGCTGCAGCTAGCTATTCTTAAAATATGGTAATTGTACAACAGCTCATTTGCACAACATATTTCTAATCCAATTATTGTCTTCGTTAATATAGTATGTCATTTTACTTAGCTCACCATAGCATTTACCAGCAATTCTTAGTGGTGCTTACTATTCAGCAGCTGTATTACATTTCATATATCTTCTGATGTTCTATATAACAATAGTGATCTAACTAAAACCAAAAATGTTATTGTACACTGTATTTTTATTTTATTGGTGCATGATGAATGTTGTTATCACATATCTATCCCTTCTTCAAAAATAAACTATCTTTCCCCATTTATTGTTTATTATCAAATATGATATCGTGCTCAACCGACGAGTAAAATGTTGTCGAATAGATTAGGTGATGTCAAGTTCCTCAAGAACAAACCAATGAGATTGCATTTACAGTCGTAATGAAGAAGTATTGGGCAATGCGTGTACCACGAAATGTCATAAAAATAACAAGATCTTGATGATAAATATTTCTTTGTTAAAAACAATGCAGCATATATATGTGAGGGGTGCTGTAGTAACAAGATAAGACAGGTATATTGCAGTGAATTATATGTAATATTATATGTTACAGTGAATTATCCTAACGGGTGATAGATATATAGGGCGTCAAAAACTGAATGTGTCACTTCCATTATCAAACACCTATACGGTTCGTTATCGAGGATAAACTGAAATTCGGTGCCTTCATTCTTTTTTAGGATTTCATTCATTTCCCAGTGATAAAATATATACTGTATGTCCACAAAATGCCATTTTTTTTTATCTTTTGAGCATGAATCTATCAAAACGTCAAAGAGAATTCATCATATTTTATACAAGCATTTCATGTATCGATTTCATGTCAGCTGAGAACTGAAAATCTGAGTTCACGGTACAGATTTGTTCTGCCCCCCAGTGCGATAATTCGAATCAGTTTGTCAGGAACAAATAACTATGTCCACACTCGTCATATGCTGATAACCGGACGACAATTCGTTAGTTCGCTATTTGAAAAAATACAGGCTTCCTCTCAACGCGATAATTACGAAATTTCAGAGTTATGTATATACTGGCTAGGTTTTAATAATCGCTTACAACTTAGGGAATAGAAATGCGATTAGTCATACAGTACTGTCGAGGTGGTAGGGCGGATTGTTTGAATTCTGTGCATAATGACATTAAATACGCCTTCGGTTTATGGTAATTTATGGCATTGACCTCATCACAAAACATTCCAAAGGCTCTGGATTGTCTTCCCTTTTGGTAAAGTTTCAATTGCTAGACCCAGCTCATGAGAGTACGTTGGCGGACCAGGTTCGTGTAATAATTTATTATCCCAGTAACATTCTTCTAGGGCGGCCTGTTCAAATGTAGGATCATTTTCCGCATCTTCTTCAGATGTGTTTTCTATTACCTCATTGTGCTCTTCCTAAAAGAAATTGGTTGTTTTTATTCACGCTCGGATTCTGTGGTCTGACCCTCTTCTTTTTTTCATCGAAATCCCATTATATTTGAGTATTTTGGTATAAAACAAACCGAATGTCCTCACGTGCTTTCAAATTTTGGAAAATATATTTATAATATTATCGGATTGAATCAGAAAATTCTGGATTGTGACAAATGAGCTTGTTTTTTCACTAGCAAAAAGGTTAATTGGGTAGGCTACCTTCTGTAGTTGAAACCTCTAAGTTTGACTTACGTTCATCTAGTATTTACTATTCGTGGAAGTTCAGCCTCAGATAAATACCAAACATTTATCGAACGTTTAACCAGTAATCTGGTGTCATATAATTGGATATGTGTACGTCGTTCGAACCTTTAAGAAGATTTATTTCATAGAATTACACTCAAGTTCCAGTTAACTCTATGCCCAGATATAAATGTTTGCTGAATTATACTTTACTAGTCACCTACCGCAGTAACCGCACACAAGCCACCTTCCACAAATATGCCATATATTGGATTAACCAAATAAGCATTCATTAAAATGTTGATTTCATCCGTAATCTTTTTCAACTCTTCCAGTGGACTCATCTGAAATCCATAAACGAAATTTCCGCGAGACCAATTGATATCGACGGCCATTGCGCTCCCGAACTTTGAATTCCTTACGATTAACCTTTTCTGTCATGAAGTATATATCATTTGTGAGATGAACTGGAATACTATTAGTGATATAATTTGCTGCTTATAGCATTGCGTAGTTCTGTACATAATGTTTTTTCACGTACTTTATAATGGTGCAGGGATGTGTTAGATATCCAGGCTCGATACGGGAATAAATACAAAGCATTGAATGCAGTTGTGAGCACACCATACATGCACAAAAATTCTTCTTCGGTTTTGCGTGAAGAATCGCATCATGAATATATCATTAAAGGTAGAGAATGCAGCAATTCGGAAACGCGAAAAATTTCAGATTAGATTTTATTTTTTAGGAAGTTTGCAAAAGTTTTTTTATTTAATCCAGACATAGTGTGTTTATTGATATATTGATTGAAAATAATGTTTAAAATATGACACACAAATAATATAGAAATACCAACTAATACTCACAATTTGTAAATATGGAATACTTGCACTATGATGATCGTTTATATTTGATACCCAAACTATTCTGATGTTTGTGATATATAGTTTTCCAAGGTTTCCCATATCTCCCGATAAATTCCAAAATCCATCCACTGTTCTTATTAAATGCTCCTGAGTAGAATCGTATATATATATATATATATATAAACAATAAAATATCTCACCAAATGGGTTTTTTTTTTTGTGAGCGTTCATCACATTATTTTCCAGACATGAAACAAAACCAAAAACAAATATTAATGACAATACTTGCATTTTGTAATATCTGAAATTCTCCGTCTTTTATCACTAATCCCCGCAAAACTAGGGTGCGATACATCTTGCTGGTTCGATATGCTCTTAATTCAAAGTATAATTTTCAAATTAATGTTAAGTATAAGCTATTTATTGTTCAAAAGAAATTATATCAGAAATCAGAATATTATTAATAACTCGAATGGATTATTTTCGTGATTTCTGCTCTTCCTGAGATTGTGTGATAAATACAAGGATATAAAGATCTACGGCAGGATAATTTATTTTCTAATATATTTAAATAATTTGTTTTCAAAAACAGATAACAAACCTATGAATGTTGGTTACAGCTTGATAAAGATCAGTAAACGTTCTTTCCACCTGGGCTTGAAGCAAAAATATATAGGGAAACACTGTTTGTGAGATGACATGTATAGTGAACAACGTGCCGTTATGTAGTCTCTGAAAAAATCATTTTCAATCAAGATCGCTTGAAAGATTCAAACAATTAGGTTGTCACATGTGACTTGTTTTTCTACTTCTTCAAAAACCGATGGCCTTTCTTTATATTATGGTAATATGCTGATGATACATACTCTGTAGATCTGTTTTGCAAGTGAATTATTTAACGAAAAATGTAAATAATATTTATACTCACCGATCTTTGGATATCTTTCCGGAATTCTCGAATGCAATCAAAACCAATGGCTAGAAACAACAAAATCCAACTCATCTTTTAAACATGACTATGATAATAGTTTCAAATTGGGAACAATGGAAGATGTAATACCCATCGTCTTATCACACACAGCTTGCATGTTCAGCCGGCGTTTCTCAAAAATGTCATGTTCTAAATGTCCCAATTGCTCACATATGAATAGACTACAGACGTATTATACGTATCCAAGCCATGAACATAGCATAAATTTCATTTAATATGCTCAATTTATTCATTCAATTTACACTAAATATCTTCCCTAACTTATTAACTTAATCTTATTACTAGTGTGCTAAATAGTGGACAAGTATGGGATAAGCATTTTTGATGACATTTTTGAGACACCGGTTTTGCATAACGTTCGCATTCAAACATTGCCAACGGACCCTGTCATTGTTGACTCCAATTATTCGCGTCAGTTGCTATCTTTTGCATTCGTGAGGATATATATAAATAGATCTCAGCGCATAAGATTGTCACTTATAACAATTTCTCTGCTACTTACTACTACTAATTCGCGACCATGCTTTGATCAAACTTGTATATAACATTCCTCACTCTTAAATAGTCACTTGGGTTGGGTGGGTCACTTGGAAGTAACAGACATATTAAAGTAAATTACATAACTTGGACAAATTCTACAATTCTTGGATATAAACTAAACAGAAGTAAAGTATATTCTTACATAAATTAACTTTGATATCATTTCGTTCATGCCATATAATACGAAGATTTGTCACTATTATATTTCCTTTAACGTCAGAACGTATTCGTCGTTGATTGGTTATGTTTGAAAACTCTCCAATAACAAATTCCCCTGGATTCATGTCCAAATGCCTGCAAATAGCATACTGTCCGTTACAGCTTGAACACAAAATAGACATATGGATTGTTTTCGAAAATTATAGTTCTTGGTAGTTAAGTACTCGATTTTAAACTGTCAGTACTTTAAAGATCCAGTCCAGCGGGCACGATATCATCCCCAATATTGCTGGTTTCTATAATAAGCGGGTAAGAACATTCAAATGACATTCGATAATTCTTTTTGAGTGTAACTTTGCTGGCATGGCATATATATTAGTCATATGACCTATACTTAACCTCATTCTGCTGCTAAGATTTTGATCATGCTTTGTTACTATCGGCAATAAATTTGCCATTAAAATAGTTGAGCAGGTGTGCTACAATGTTAGGTAATATGTTCCAATAGGCATATGCAAAGAAAGAAAACTATACTTTGTTTAAATTTATTTTTACCTTTTTTCAATGTGGAATCCTATAGTTACATCATTCCAGCGACCACGCGATGACATAGTGGTCTAACTAATTTCTTAACAACTTATTGCTTTGAAATCACTTATGAAAGATGTAGCATTGGCAAAAATCTCTTCAGCAAAAGTATTGTCATACGTATCTGTACTCTGCTCCTTTTGAATTAATTGTTGGTTAACAATAATCTGAGCTATCGCTCGCAACATAAAATGCTTTGGAATATTAGACACGAATTGTTTGCTTTTAGATCATGATTAGTAAATGACACTGGATACCATGTTTGAGCGGGTGTGGTGGTCGCAGCGCGTTTTATTGGTTTGAACAATAACTTTGAGCCTGCTATAAATTGTCTCTAGTTGAAGGCCTGACCAGAAAAGATATATTCCTTATTGGATTACTCGCCAAGCTCTGAACTTTTTTAATTTTTCAATGATCGGAATGTCACAACTTTGCCCTGACAGTTACATCAATTTCCTGATTTTGAGGTGTGACTGGTCTGACTGATTTCTGATCTTTTTGTACACATTTCGTTTTAGCCTTTTGCATATTGCCTGAATACCGTTGCATGAATCAACTTCATGTCTAGCTTATATATACATATATATATATACCTGCTAGAAAGGGATTCGAACACATCAAACTTATATTTTAGCTTATGCGCGGTAGTTATCTACCTCAGACTACTAGACTATAGTGTAGATTTGATGTGATTTATGCAAACGTGGTTAATATTCGCTAAGGTGTTGGCTATAGCGTAACTAGTTCACAATATATATGTCAACAAAGTAGGAAAATATTGACAGAAGCGAGAACACTAATTGAAGTGATGCAAATATATAGCACGATTTATAGGTAATTCAAAATGGTTCGGTTTGTCAATTCACAATTTCTAGTTTATCAAATCAATGACCTCTAAAATACTCGGTCCGACCGGTAATTGGACCAAATTACTTTTTACCATGATATCATTCTGTCTATAAACTTACATTGCCGTTAATACTCATTATACGGCTTCTAAAATCAGCACATATTTTCGCTATTTGCTAATCTATTTATTCTGATTGCTCATCTTGAATATCTGGAAAGGTCATTTGATTCATTCGTGGATTTTCGTATCTTAGAATTTTAAAAGTAAAAACTAAAAATTAAAAAAAATTTACTATATGCAATAGAAACTCATTTTTAAGCAAACAACGTCTTGTTAAAAAATATACGATATATTCAAATCCATACTGGATAGTCAAGAAATTATGGCCTCATGTATAACCACCATAGTATGCATTGGACGACTTCAACACTCGAGTGTTTTAAAATATAATTTATAAATATATATTTTTTCGTGGATTCCATTTTGTTGACTTTTCCGCACAACCGACATCCGAACACAAACGTTCATCGATATTGCAGTACATTGAGTCGCTGAATAAAACAAAAAGTCTGCCGCAATGTGCTCATACATCATCGAATTGTGAATCATTTGTTGGGATTTTTGATCTTCAACTATTACTAAGTTATGATGTATGACGTCATAATTACCTAGATTACCTACACACCAATAAACCAAAGATTTAATTCGGTAAATTTTGGACGATGACAGTAATGCAAGTAATCCTGTGAGATGGGAAACGGATGTTCCGGTCAGAACGCTGTTGCCACTGCTCCCGGTAAGAATTTACTACGGATGTGTTTGCGCTAGCGTTTATAAGTACTCTGTTAAAATTTTGACTATCGCAAACTTTTTGTGCTCTTTCGAGTGATCTTGATTTGATTCTAATAAGTTATTGTGACTCTGTATTCATTTATATGGAATATTGTCGCGAAACTTTAAACAACAGGCACATCTGCCATTTATTCCCGAACGTGCGATCAAAAAAAAGCAAAAATTAATTATCACAAGACAAAAGAGCGCAAACAGATGACAATATCAGCTTAACTCTGAGTGCGGAAAGAAAATCCCAGATTTAAGAAATGTATCTGCGCGATACAAAACTGGACTTCGAAATGCAAATAAATTAGTGTCAAGTATTTACTATCGTTGTTTTCGAATCGGCTTAGGAGGGAAAGCTGAACCAAATGAAGACATGAAAAAGCAAACTCCACAAGAAGAGGAAGACGAAGAAAAATGGAATGTTGCTATTACCGAGGAAATAGGTCGAATGTTGGTCGCAAGCTCAAACAACGAATCTCAAACTATACTAAAAGACGGCGATGTGGCTTCAGATTTACTCTCGGAAATGGCTGAAAATTTGTTTCTGGTATATTGATTTAAAAATGTTTGTTGGTAATTGTAAACACGTTTGACTTAAAAAAATTACAATTTTTTAAAATCGGTAATGTTGCTATTGAATACGGCGCGGAAATTTAAAATACGAGTGTGAAACTGATCACGGTATTGTGCTAGATTAGCTAGAAGAAAAAGGAAAAGCTTTCACCTTCCCGTTTAGCAACAAAAAACGTGGAGCAGTAAAAAGAGTAGTGATAGACCATTTGAAGTTTCATCTCACCCAACACCGATTGAAATAGACGAAGAACAAATTCGAAAAAGACTGAACAAGCGGAGACATGCAAGGCCTGCGCTCGATGCCAGCATATATGCAAAATTACAACACGAAAAGTAAGTTTGATACAAGTCAATCGCAGTTATTATTGTTTGTTAACGCTGAAACTTATATTGAAATGTGTCGATATGCAGTGGTTGGTATTTATTAAATTTAATGTAAAATAAGGTATTTCGATTATGTTCCAAACAAGTGTAATTATTTTATTTTAGGGAGCCTGATGAACAGTCACAATCCAAAGATGCTGCGCCAACCACTCGACCCCAAACATCAAAAACTGTTTTAAAAACCAGTTTTCAAGACGTTATAGGTGTGGAAGCGGAAATTCCTTTTCAGCGAGTTTTAATATCGGGTGTCGAGAGTGAAGTAGCAAGCGAAGTACGGATTATATTGTCATTTATTTCTATATCGTTATCCTTCATCCTAGTTTGTGGAAGTTGGACAATTTTATTCTGGATTAGTAGGGGGCGTCGATATAGGGTGGAACGTTAATCTTAAACTGTATAAAATATTAATCTCATTATTATTATTTGCAGTAATCCAATTTGTTAAATGCCAGTAATGAAACTATGAACACGGAATTTCAATAACTAACCTCAATGTCGGTAGCCAATGTGGCCAACTTCGCAATATCGAAGAACAACCGTGACGTAGGCGGTCACGCTCGACCAAAAAGATTCTGAGTGTTAGAATAAAACAGTAAAATTATGGATTAAATATATGCCGGATCTTATAGAATTCAATTTGAATGAAAACAAAATAAAAGTAATAGCCTTCTGGCGACTTTTTCCATACATAAGTACTACAAATTTGAAAAGGTCCGACCCGTTCGTTAATTGTGATCACCAACATCAACAACGGCTCATATGGTCAATTAGTGTCCAGAAATCTTTATTATTTTAATAGGAAATTGGAGACCTAGCTTTGAGCTTGATTCACGTATTAGGCACTAGGCAACATTACATGAGACTTTCAAGGCAATCATTTCCAGCAAATATATCAAAATTTTTGGCTAAAACTACGGGAACGCAAGCACAAGAACCTATTTTTCCAGGTATGCAATATGAAATAAATATCAATTTCTGGGTAATTTCTCCTCTGTAAGTCGTTTTCTCACATTTGAACGCGTGATACTGGGAATATCAGGTCGCTCAAATGTATCTTAGAGTCGGGCTTTTGTTCGTATATATGGTACATTCGGCTTTTTTCATCAGTATGATTTTATGTTATGATTTGTTGACTCACACATTAAAGATTAATAAAACGACAAATGAACAAATCTTGTTTTAAATAACAGATTTCATCGATCCCATCACCGACACAGTAATGACTCCATCTGACGAGAAGTCTCTGATTGTTTCAACAAAAGCAGGACTTATCACAATAACTAATGAAGCAGGCGAAGAAGTTCTGCTGCCATGCATTAACAGAGACATATTTATAAAAAATAGAAATCTGTTATATGCTTTGGTAGCTGACGGCCCCTTGTGAGTACTTTGAGTCAATTTTGATGGTTAATACAATCTTAATCTTTCCTCAAATCCAATGATGAGCTAGAAATAAGATCGTTGTAAAAGTATATATTTCTTCGACCACGGTATCAGAACTATTCAAAATGTATTACAGTTTTATTTAAATTGTTACAACTGTTTCCAGATTCAGATCATTTGTTGTTTGATTTCTCATGTAATATCTATTCAAGTTGTTTCTTTTTTTTTGTATACTTCCTTATTGGAGAGTCATACCAACTTGTAAGAAATTTATTTATTTATTGGTCGAATACGGACATTGTTCACAATCACTAAATGTGTGTCGAGCTTAACGTTCAAAGGGTTGGAGCGATCTTGAAGAATTTTTCCATGTGGATAATCGTATCACTTTAATAATGTGCGTTTCATCGAAAGTTCGGATTGATTTTCGTTTCTATGACAACATATGAAAAAATGCGCTGATCGTTTGGAAATTTCCAATTTTCTTACAAGTTGTCGCCATTATCTCGACAACCAAGTCGAGAATTACGAGAACGTATTTATTTTGAGTACACGTATGTACCCGTGTGCCATTTTAAGCTTCGATTATTTGCTCCCACATATGAATTTTTGTTTTTGTGTCGGATAGAAAATCATTCTGTTATCATCGACTTTCTTACCTGAAATCAAAATTTCGTCTTCATCGACTTTTGAACGAAGTCAGTGAGTCAGAGGCAATGAAAAATCCAGGAACAACGGCGAGAAGAGATTTTTACAATGTCCGAAAGGTAGATTTATTTAAATTGCATCCAACTTCACTTTTTGTTATTGTCGACGTCCCGCGTGAAATGTATATGTAAGTCAAAATTTCTAACTTCGTATTTTTAAACAGGTTGATACACACATACACGCGGCGGCATGTATGGGCCAGAAACATTTGTTGGGTTTCATGCATGAAAAAGCGAGAACGGAGCCCGGTGCTGCTGTTTTGATACGAGATGGAAAGACAATGACACTAAAGCAGGTATTTTAGGATGATGTATATATTTCAATTATAAAAGTTCTCAGTTATGTGAAAACTATGTAGCACTATTGCTTTTCAATAGTAGATTTATGTGTCGACATAGTCTTATTTTAATATATAATTTGCTTTTTGCTTGCAGGTGTTTGATAGCTTGAAGTTGGATCCACTTTTTCTCAACGTCGATTCGTTGGATGTTCATGCAGTGAGTTTTCCCTTCATTTTTAAAGAACTTTATTTCAGATAAAACAGCAATCCCCTTCGCCTCCGTACACTTGAATATGATTTTTTTTTTATATAAGTCAACGACTGCATTATAATAAGAATGCTATATAATATCATTTCGTAACGAGTGTTTCAGAGTTTCTTCTCGATTTTTCCTTGAGTGTTTCTTTGGACAGAATAGACAAACGTTTCAAAGATTTGATCGTTTCAATAATCTCTATAGTCCCATGGGTGCATCAGAGTTACGTGAAATATTTTTGAAAACAGACAACAATACCGGTGGAGAATACTTTGCTCAAATAATAAAAGTAAGTTATCATCTTCATAATATAATTTATAGATAATAACACTTCATGATATATTTTATTGATAAAACTTTGATTATCTTTCATCAGCAAGTTGAAGAAAAATTGTGCGATCAAAAATATCATCATTTAGAGTTGAGAATTTCAATATACGGGAAAAGCTATGATGAATGGGAAAACCTTGCTAACTGGTTTGCTCGGCATAAACTTGAAAGCATTCATATACGTTGGCTAATTCAAGTTCCTCGTCTATAGTAAGAACTTGTGCACTTTATCAAGATTTACTTTATTTTACTGGTATCACATAATATATTCATTGCGTCGAGTAGAGACGTATATTTATAATGTTTAGGGCAACTGCGGCAGACTCATTCACATTACTTATTCACTATGCTGTTTTGGTACTCCCGAAGTATGTGAACCAAGATGGCGGACACCAGAACGTAGTATGTGTACCAGGTTAAAGTTAGGCCATAATTTCAGGCACAATTACTACGGGAGTCACTTGGCTTGTCCCTGAACTCGTAATAGAACTAAAATAAGAAAAATAGGAATAAAATTATGGCCTAACCCTAACCTGGTACACATACTACATTCCGGTGTCTGCCATCTTCACGGAATCTTGTGTCCTTTTAAAAGTAGTAATATCAATTTAATGTTTCTATTCTCTCTTCTTGTAATAAATCAAGAAAGTTGGAAGAATTAAAAAATTACAATCATAGGAATATCACAAGATAAACAGTTTTCAACATATCTGAAATGAAACTTCATATGAAATATCTGTATAAAGCTATAGCAATTGGATAAATAATATTTGCTTTATACGATATTCACCAATCCTTTTTCAGTGATGTTTACAAAGCTAAAGGGGTTGTTTCAACTTTTCAAGATGTCTTGGACAACGTCTTCCGACCTATATTAGAAGCTACATTGTGGCCAAACCGACATAAAGCTATGCATACATTTTTGAGGTAATAATAGGTTAGCCAGCTACCTCCACAAGGACATGTATATGTTAACTTACAACCTGAATAACTCACACTATTGATTTGAGGGACTACTTATGTTTCTTCAATTCTTTTGAATAACATCACAAAAATTCTCTCAAATATATTAAACCTAGGAAATATCAATATCCGAGTCTAAGTTACTCAGAGAGTGAGTGCTATTTGTCATTGAAAAACTACGATTTTAGTCAGGGGTGAGCAACAGGCGGCCCGCAGGCCACAACCCGGCCCGACAAGCCATTTAGTATGACCCCTGTAAAAATTCGGATTTCTCCATCAGGCAGGAAATCCTAGTACGACAGTTTATGTTTAAAAAGACGCTCGCATGTAAAACATATACTTGGTAATGATTCTTCGACGCGTTAAATATTTCGCCTTTTTGCCCATTGCCTTTATTACTGTACTACAACTCCTGTCAAAGTTGATGTTATAACACTATGTAAAAAATCGAAATTTCAAGTATACTCTTAAACGTTAAATAAATGAAATTTTGCACTGTGAAATAGTTTTAATTCGTTGTATACATGGAAAAACTATTTTTTTGTTTGTCCTCTCTTGATGTCTGGAGTTACACGACCCACCGACGAAAAATGTTGCACATCCCTGGTTTGAGTAAACTTCCGCTTTTTTACGCAACATATTTTTCCGTCTATTTATTTACTTGGTGGGAATGATAATTCCATGACCAAATCTGCGTATACTGGCCATGTCCTAATCGTGATATCAAGCAGTGCGCTTCGTCAGTCGTGCTTCAAAGTGTGCAAAGATTGCATAGAACTATTTAAACTATACATAATTTGGCACGACAAAGCAGTGTTAACGACGCCTCTGTTTTGCTTATTGTTCAGACACGTGATAGGATTTGACAGTGTTGACGACGAATCCAAACCGGAGCCGGGCTTCATGAAGAGGACTTCTCCAACTCCCGACTGCTGGGCGCGAGACACAAATCCTTCCTACGCATATTACATCTACTATATGTACGCTAATGTTGCAAGACTCAATCACATGAGGCAGTAAGTCATTTTTCTGGTTAGGTAAAAAATAATATATATAACCCCAAAGAGCGATGCTCAAATATATGGCCACGAAATCCAGAACAAAGTACTTTTCGTACCGCACCTACAGGTATCGATCAATCTCAGAGTTTCGCGTAGCTTCGCGTTAAATCGGAAACCGCAGTCACGCTTGGCGGATTAAAACACGAGTTTCCATACAAAATACAAATATAGCGAAATTTTGGATGAAATATCAGATCTTATAGGATTCATAGAAAATTTAGGAATAAATGAAATAGCTATCTAGCGAAAATTACAATCTTTAATCTCTGAAAATTTCCAACAACTGGTCCATTAGTGAAACAGAAAAGCGATTTTTGTCATAACAACCACGAGAAAATATCAACATGATCAACAAAAACATAATAGCAAAACAATCCATATGTCCACTTTGTGTCCAAGAACACATTATTAAACAATATATCGGCCAAGGGCGATTTTTTGCATTCTTGAACGAATGTCAATAGTTTTTATTAAAAATTTTCCTCTGTGATTAGCCAACCATACCTTTAGAAAACTATACACTTCGTATAAGCAGTTAATATCACCAGACGTACACGAAGACTGGGGCGATGGGGGCTCTTTCCATCAAGGACGCACAACCTATGACCTATATGGTAAGATATCGAGACAGCGACCGAACTCAACACCATCATTTTTTTCGTTCATCTCCAAACTACTATTTCATTGTTTTTCAAGTTTGAGAGGAATGAACACATTCTCATTGCGGCCTCACTGTGGCGAAGCTGGTCATCACGATCATCTTTTAACAAGTTTTATTCTTGCTGATAATATTTCTCACGGCCTGGTGTTGAAAAAGGTGGAGTGTTGGCTTTATATTCTCTATACTTATTTTTAATGCTGACTTCAAGATCGTGCATTCATGACCGTAATCCTGCGTATGATTGTATAGGGGCAAAGCAAAACGAGTTCAAAAGCCCTTGTTCCGACGTAATCTAGTGCGACGTAATCTAGTGCATCATTAGTAAACTACAAGTTGTACACAATGTGAATTTTGGATCCAGTTTAAGGTACTCAAAAGAGAGTACCAGGAATAGCAGAAACAGTAGTTATCAAACAAGGCAGATAATTTAATTAGGCCATGTACTCCAGGGCGAAAGTGAGTTCTGCACCTAACCTTTGCAGCTCTAAATCGATGATAACCCTCAATCTTTCTCAGCCGTTTCGTACTATATGGCATCGATAACGTAATAGTGCGCGTCCGGATATTATGTATATATTTGAAAGAAAGTTTTCTTTTAATATACATTTTACATCACTCAATTCTATTATTTATTCAGATTCCTGTTCTGCAATATTTGTATTATTTAGCTCAGATCGGTATCGCCATGTCGCCACTGAGTAATAATCATTTGTTTCTCGAATACAATAAAAATCCTTTTCCTGACTATTTTGCTCGAGGGTTGAACGTCTGTCTCTCTACCGACGATCCTCTTCAATTTCATTTTACGATGGAGCCTTTGATGGAAGAATATGCGGTAGCGGCACAGGTTTGAATATTGTCAATTTACTGTATCACACTGATTTGATAAAATCTACCGTTAACATCAAGAGTGAGTTTTTTATGATATCCTCAGTATAAAAAACACTGAAACCCGAATTTTATTTATTCAAGCGAATATTTTTTACTTCCCCTCATTATTCTCAGTAATTTATCTGTTAATGATATTTGCAGAATAAACAGATATTTCGCCCAAAATTATTAGCATACCTTCTAATCATATGCCAAAGTTATAATTGCAGAGATTCGGTTCAAAACCATTTACATATATAACAGGCAGTAAACATTCCAGGTTTGGAAGCTGAGTGTGTGTGACATGTGCGAAATAGCACGCAATAGTGTTATGATGAGCGGTTTTTCACATAAAGAAAAGCAACGATGGCTTGGCGAATCGTACAGGTAAATTTATTTCTGTCAGATTCAAAATACACTTCTATATTGTTCATATTGGAATGAATTTTCTTATTTTTGTCTACACAACTCAAATCATCATTCATAACAGTCATGCTCATAATCACTGTTTTATAGTCACTTGGCTATGCAAACTATAGTCCAAATGTGGCATTGAGAGATGCCCATAAAATCTTATATTTCCACCTTATAGTACATGGGAATTGGTCAATAGGATTAAATGTAATGTCCTGATAGGGCCTAATATTTCCTATTCATGGCTTGCCACTTCCTTATTTGAATTAGATGGAATATAAATGTTTTTATTAACACCCGAATCTATAAAATTTGGGCAAATATTACTCGAATTCCAAATAACTATTTGTCATTTAAGAACAGACAAAACCCTCGGTCGAATTTCCCTTTTTTCCCCAAAGATACAAAATTTATAACCGCTTTATAATAATAAGTTGATAATTATCATTGTATTTATGTTTTTTCTGGTTGACAAATAATAAATCTCTCTCTCCTCTATGAAAAACACCGCGTCGGTTTTATGAGGAATAGTTTAACAAGGAATGCAGTTCGACTGTATTGAAAATTTCACGAATAATTGCCTCAAAAAAAAATTCATGAAAATCAGGATTTCGCTGTTCTCTACTTGTAAAAATTAACTAATTAGATCTTCATTTTCCTTTCTATAGGTCCGAAGGGGCGAAAAGTAACGATATATGTCGAACGAACGTTCCAGATATTAGAATTGCTTATCGACACGAAACTCTGTGTGACGAACTTCAGCTGTTATACGAAGCGATCGCTCTTGCTAGAGACTCCAGAGCATCTCTTTTTCATAAAGATTGAGAGACGGAAAATTAAAATATTCTACTTTCATTTTATTTTTTAGCACCCCAATAATATACATTCATTCCACCATGTATAATTTTTGGCCGAAAAGTGGCCTAGAAATGGGATGAACCGGTAAAGTATATTTTTTGTAAGACTTATTTATGAAAGAGAGCGTATATTACTCAAATTATACAACAGAAATCAGAGCATACAAAAGCATATTAATTCATCTTGAATTTTTTACTGCCCAGTATGCGGTCGCTGGATTCCTTATTAGTGACGCAATGCAAAAAAAACTGTTTGCAGGTTGGTAACTGGGTGCAAGAAAAATTACATGGCTTTTTTAAACTGTATGTAATACTGAGGAAAGGTATGTAACACTCACTCAGAAGAAACAAAGCTTTACTCACATTTGAGCAAAGTTACGGGCGACCACAGAAATACCAAGAACTACTACAGTCATACAAAATTATCATAATGCATAGGCGCTAGTAAATCCTAGTTGGCAAAGTTGCCGTATTTATTCCGAATCCATTAATTGAAGATTGGTTACAGTTTTAATTGTGAATAATCAAAATAAACTCATGCAAGTCACGAAAACTTTGAAGCCGAAGATATAACAGCTGTTCGACAAAAGTCCTGTTGTTTACAGCAAAGTGAGTGAATGATAAATAGCAGGGTTAGAACATCAGGTTCAACTTCAATAAAACCCCGGGATCCCAAGAAGGCATTCTCTGTCAAAAATTCCCTCACTTATTATAGTATAGCATTCGAATAAATTATATTTTATATAAGTTAAATACAATACCGCAAAAGTTCACGTTACCGACAGTCGGGAAATCTTTAAAAACCTCCGTTTGAGACAAATTGCTTCGTGTTCACATTACGTATGTGTCCAAGTGGATTCGTGTCGGTATATTCCCGCCAATCCTATTTCTCTTTAAGATCATGGTTCACACTTTAAGTTCAAATACGGTGTTTCCCCGAAAATAAGACCTAGCCTGAATTTTAATAATGATTTTAAAATAAGCCCCCCCCCCCCCCTTAACATATGACCTAGTCAGTAACGCGAAATTTTCGTTTGACTTATTCTATAGCAAAAAAACTTTCCTACGCGTTTTAAATTATTGATAAATATATATGTTTTGTAGTTATTTTGAATAAAAACGTGTTATTTATAAGTAAATTGATTCGGTTTTCGTATTTCGTATATTTAAAAATCTCATATTTCTCTACTTTGTAATTTTGTTTTTGGTGAATGAAAGTATAAGACATCCCCCGAAAATAAGCCCTAATGTTATTTTTCGGAAGAAAATTGAAATGAGACCCAGTATTATTTTTGAGGAAACACGGTAGTTAAGGACTTTGGATACTTTAAACATAAAAATCGAAGCCATCTGAATCGTAACAGCCCCAATACATTCCAGTATATTTGATAATAGTGGAATATAAATGTGTGAACTTCCCAAATTATCTTCTTACATGTGTGCATTTTCAGAATTCAGTATATAACATTGTATTTCACATCTGAAGAGAGGGTGTTAACGACCTATCTTTAATTTTTTTTAAATATTCAGTGATTACGTTAAATCGACTTAGTTTCAACATGAATAACCGAACTTATTTCTCGTAACAGAATCTTTTGTTTTTTAATTTTTGTTGTTAACCGTTTACATTTGTTGCCGTAGTTATGAAGATTACCGTATATGATGTCATAAAACAATCAGGTTACGGTGGTACCTCGCTATTGGAATCCATTTTAACTTGACTAATTTAAACCATTTTATACTTTCAGCAATCAGGGTGTATCTGATTATATATCTAAGTGACAGTGAATGGTATCGGTTAAAAAGGTCGAGAAGTCATGAAATAGTTTAATTATAAATCTGAATACAGAGCAATACCAAGTTTCAGTACCAGTTTGTAATTATTGTGACTAGAAGTTGTAAAAGAGATTTGATGCAAGGTTTTGCATCTATATGTGATCAAGTATGTGGGTAATTACAAAACATTTGTTGTTCTGTTTTAACATTCCTTTTATAATTTTCGTTTCTTACTTCAGTTGGAACCGTACATCTTTTGGGACCACTTAAAATTAGCTTGTCTTACAAGAAGTGAAATTCTCCATAATACAAAATAGTCATATATCATGCAAAGGATTAAAAACAATTCAATTTCTCCCCTTCGCAGAAGCGCTCTTGTTTCATTTTTTGGCGGAAATCGCTTTTTATCCATATCTGGGTTTAATCGAATGCGGTCTAATATTGTACATATGACAAGGACAAAATTGATGGCAGCAAGAACTCCATAGTTCGAATATCGAATACCAGCAATCAGCAGAAAAAAATCCCATTTCAGTCATGAAGTGTGGTGTCATCAATATAATCTTGTCCATCTGATATGTTGTTTCGATTATAAATCCAGTATTTGTAATGTTAGAAAACATTTGAAGAATCATGACCACTGGATATAAGACAGTAAGACAAACGAAATTTTTGAAGCGATGATCAACGGCGATTTACTTTTTTTAGTCATTTTACTTTTTTTACTCATTTTTTTGCTCATTCGATTCTTACTTAATATTTTGTGTTAGGTATTATATATTTGCTACCTGGAGTTGCGATAAGGTGGTATGCAACGACTCAAATTAGTATAAAAACAATTAGATGCCATGATACTCACTGTGCACCTAGTCAACTGCCGCCAAACTTCAATACTGAAGTTCAATTTCAAGTGCTTCCGTAAAATGTTGTGAACTTAGGAAATAGTTATCCATCAATCATGCTGCTTTCAGCAAATCCGATGTTACTTTAAATTAGTGAGCAAGGAAGTGTCTGGTGAAAAAGAGGTATTTCATTCAATGCAAAAGATAGTACGTTCTCTTTTTCGTCATGTACGTATGTAGAGCAGGTTCGTGCGCATGTCCCATTGTTTTCGTGACAAATTACTCAGTATTAAATACCATAGTTTATTGAGATATCGTTGTGTTGTATATTCAATTCCAATATAAGCTTAGTATAAAATTATTTTTGTCAATCATCTCACAAGTATTAAGTCATCAGACTATCAGATACTGGCTTGTACATATATCAAAACAGGCTATATACCTTAATATACCGTTTGATGTTGAAACTTTTTTGGTTGCATCCAGGGGTATGTCTAGAGGGGGCCAAAGGGGCAGCACGTAGTGTATACAGGTATGTTTGTTGCTTAGTTTAATGATTTTAACATTAATACAAAATTTCACTCTTACTTGACCTTTGAGTTATTCATCCTCATGTATTACAAAGATTTATAATTTGTTCAACCCCCAAGTCATTTTTGAAGTTGAGTATAAGGCAGTGGTTCCCCTTTACGTAAAATAAAAATTCCAGCATGTATTCAAAACAATTTAATAGCAACAGTAACATAAGGAATCAAACAAAGGAACATGGTCTTGATTTAAACGGGATACGAAACGGATTACTTTCATGCTGCCGTTTTATATCACCACGCCGGTTTTTTTTTCAGCCAATTTTACTTTTGTTCCGTCTATCGCTTCCATAGTAATAGATGTTTCTCCGAGGATGGCCTTCCTTGTTTATTGAAGGATGTCAACGGTGTGGTAACAATTGATATTTCAACAGCCGGTCAGATATTTTTTTTACTCTAGAGCAGGGCTGGGCAATTATTTTTGCTATCGGGCAACATTAATGCGGCACGCTTGCATAACAATGCCGAATTTTATCATTAATGCTGAATAGTGAGATAAACATAATAAAAATGTGAGATAAACTGCCGGAATATATTTAGTTTTGATACCAATTTTTGCGATACGTGTTATTTAAAATGCCATGCTTCATTGTTTTCAACTTAACCCGCGTTTGCTTTGGAGAAATTTAAACACTACTGCTCTGGAATACCACCGCATTGCGCGGACATAAAAATGTGAGGTAAATTGCCACATTATTGTTATTCGTGTTTTGCGATTTCGTGAATTCGGCAAATCTGATCTGTTCTTGCAACCCTGACTTAGCTCTGTTTTAAAGATTTTATCATTAGAAAAATCACCACGTCTGCGATAAAACCATACCGAGTAAAATTCATTTTAGTACCATGAAAATTGATTGAATTTACTTTACATTAGTTATCTTATGTATCAGGCCCGTCGGTAGTTTTAGAATTGATCAAAAGGTAGGCCTACATCGCGCGCACGAAAGCCATCCAATTACAATGTGTGCCGTGGGCACCAGATATTTTTCAGTTACCAATTTCTACCACAGCGTTATTAATCTGTCGCAAGCCTTCTGAATCAAAACCTGTTTCTGTTCATGTTTCATAGTGCCTCTCTTTAATCTAGATTTTGGTTGCTTGCAGATTTACTCCTTTAAATATCTTTAGCATTTCGTCGCCCATAATTACATAATACCTAGATTTTCTCCTTGGTTTCACAGTTCCGTATGCAAGACATATAAATATGTTGAGCGAAATTTGTGATTTTGGGAAAGTACTCAACTACGTAAAGGTTTTTACGGTCTAAACACATCACGCTGACGAAAACAATCGGCGATTTAAAAAAAAGATTAGTCGAACGTTATTAGCGACATTTTCATTATCCTAAAAATTTCATTTGGTTCACAGTTAAAGTATATGCTATATTTATATGGAAATAAAAAAAATATTTTTAGGATAGATCTAGTTATAGAAACCTGCTCGCCGGCCGGATGAAACGTTGCCGCGGCCGCAACTTGCCCAGACCTGTCTAGAGTCTACTCTAGACAGAGTTTCAAGCGTGGTTTTAAACATTAGCTCGTTTACGTTGTTTTGCTAAGATTTCGTCAGTTTTTACATGAGTTTCCGAAAATTAGTGCAAATGAAACAACTCAATTCTTGTTTTTTGCAAGGAGACTTAGTTCAGTTTCAAATATTAAAATTTAGTCACAACAGAGTAGCAATATACTAGGCTTAAATTATCTCCAAGTACTTTCAAATTGCAGTTTGTTAAATGTTATTAATCATGAAACATGTTAACCAAGTTAACTAACCGCTAACTAGCGAAAAGACTCTTAAGTTAAAATAAGCACTATATAGCATAGCGTAAGCAGAATTTTTCTGGGGTCAAGCGTCGAAATGCATTCAATGCAAAGTGTTAAGGGTATTGTGGCTTATATTTGAGGTTTTACATTTAAATATTTAGGGGATTACGGATATACAAGGTTCGGATGACGAAAGAGAGGTTGACTGATTCAATCAAAAGATTCATGGTTGCTTCTAGTCGGCATCACTAGCTGAGGCAATGACACCTGATTTGATTTTTTGTCAAACTAGTCTGGCTTTTCCCGTTATTAGATCTCTATCTCTCAGATTTTATTTGTCTAACATGCCCCCTTATTATTATAGCGTACATTTATAGGCACCCGATTTTTCAATGATTTCTATTGATTTTAGTTCTTAATCAATTTGCGCGTTGAAAGGTTTTTAATTGCCTTCGTGTACTCACTGTCCTGTAAGTGATATGGCATCTCTGTCAATCTCTAAGATTTAATAGTGATTAGTATTATTGATAATTCAGATAGAAGCTGACATGGAGTATCGTGTATATTCTGCTCGGTGGGTTTTTATGACAATAACTTCGATTAATGTATTTAGCGTTGTTTTCATGACGTACTGCTATGCCGGTATAAATAACGTTATCACGGCTTATTTCCAAACCACGCCATTTTTTATCGACCTTCTCGCGACATGGGCAATATTTATGACTGCTGTTAGCCTTCCTATGCTGGCTTTATTCAAAGACAATTTCAGCTTGAGAAATCAAATTCTTTCAACGAACGCCTGTACACTAATAGGCTCAATAGTTGGAGCAATCGGTTTCAGCAACAGGTAAGTTGGTATTTTATTGCAAAAATGACACGTCGTTTTCCTACAATTAATGAAAGTTCCACTATTATATCATAATATGTAAAAATGATAAATCTCAATCTTTTCGCGATAGATCTACTTCGGATATGAGGACGTGGCATTGTTTGGCAGCCAATCCGTATACCCGTAAAATAAATAAAATACTACATACACAAACGCCGTATTCCACAAATAAATTGCACAAGACTAAATTACACGTAACAAATATCTTTCTTTAGTCTTGTATTGGTAACTATGAAAAATGTTATGTCTATTTTAGAAAATGGTTCTATATCGCATTGGGCGGTCAAACATTCTTCGGAATTTCGTCTGCGATCAACTTCGTAATTCAAATTTCACTCCCTGCAAATTGGTTTCCGGCGCACGAATCAGCAACGGTCGTTGGAGTGTTTTGGGCATCGTGGTCTCTGGGACAAGCAGCAGCAGCTGGAGTATTACCATTCATAATTGGTTCACTAGACGCGACTAAACTTGAATCTGCTTTTTTGAAAGTTAAATGGGTATTTCTCATTGTAAACGGTGGCATTGCGTTTCTACATTTATTGACAGGCATATTGTCCTGGTTTTATCTGGCAGACAATCCACCTAGTCCTCCGAGTGCATCACAACAATACATTTTGAAACAGAAAATCAATCAAAAATCACCAATTACTGAAATGCTGATTTCAAACATCAAGCTTATTGTAAACGTGCATCGTAATCGCGATTACTCTCTCCTTACACTAGCCCACTTGCTTGCTCTTTCAGTCGCGACCATAACAAAAATATTGGTTGCATCTGTTTTCCTGGAAACATTCAGCAACATCACTGACGATGAAGTAGCTGGAATTCGCCTAATCGGATTGTTGGCTTCTGTTCCTGCTTCAATTGCAGTTGGAAAGATAATCGACAAAACAAAGAAATTCAAGGAGCTTACACTGACAGGTATTTCGAAAAGGAATAATGTCCCGGGATGTAATGTTTTGCTTTGTGTCAGAATTGTTTATTGACCAATATCAGTAAAAGTGATATAATACAACACAGCTGACCTCGGCCGAGTCGAATCGCCATCAGACCGTAATATGATTGAACACCAAGTCCAAGCGCACAGTTAGTGTCATGGAATCTAAATATTCATTTATAATATTACAGCTTCAAGGCATATTTTTAACAACTAATATTTAGTATAAATCAAAAATGTAGATCTTATATTTGAGTAGGCTTACCATACGTCCCGCTTTAGGCGGGACAAACCCGCTTTTCAGCGTTTTGTCCCGCCGTCCCGATAAGTCAGCCAAAAGTCCCGCTTTCCCAGCATAATACACAAACATGTTCTCGTTACTGTTGTTTCTGTGTAGCGCAGCGCTAGCCTGCTTACTGAAGGTGAATGCGTTCGTTTCCCGCTGATTCCCATTGATGTCAGACATCTTTTATTTTCTACAGCTCACATTGGCTTAACCATAGCTTGTGCAGGAATCGTCGCTGGTCATGGCTTCAAAAATTTTGTTTGTCTTGCTGTCTTATATCCAGTGAACATGATTCTCCAAATGATTTCTACCGTTACACTTATAGAATTTATGATTGAAACAACATATCCGGTGGACAAGATTGTATTAGTGACATCACACTACTTTGTGACTGAAATGGGATTATTTTTGCTCAGTTCTGGTATTCGATATACTTTGCAGAATTACGGAGCTCTTGCTGCAGTCAGTACTGTCCTTGTTATATGTGCAATATCTGTCTTGGTTCTTTTTTTTGTTAGACCGAATTATAACAGATTAAACACAGATATGTAGCGCTTGCCGCGACAAAATGATAGATGAAACACGGATACTTTTGCGAGAAGGACAAAATTGACGAAGAAAATAAATAGCACCAGGCTTCATATGCTGTCCTAAGGCGATAATTTTTATATTAATTGAAAAATAAGCAATCTGTTTATGAATCAGTTTTCCATAGATAGCTATCGTTCTCTGTTAGTTAGGAATTTGTCTTCATCACATATGATATATAGTTGCGTATTAAGTGTATTTCGTTATCTGTTATTTAGATCAATTGAATCGTGCAACTCTGCAATATACGAACATTTAGCATTACTATCTATTAGACCTTTCAAGGAGTCAGTGGGGTTACTCCGCTGAAGTGTAGTTCTAAAAACTACATTCCTAGTGAGTAGCGACAGCATATTTGCACCCGTATATCTGCATTTAGGACTGCTTTTGTACCCATACACTTCTGTCCACAGACATCACCACTCGCATATAGATTTCACCAGATTGCGTCCACGAATATTTGCGCCCGCGTACATTTGCCACTATTAGGGCCGAGAATGGTTAACCGATTTTTGATGGTTAACGGTTACGATTTATTTTAACCGTTAACTGGCATCTCATTTGCACCTGCATACTTTTGTACCCATACATTTCTGTCCACAGACATCACCACTCGCATATAGATTTCACCAGATTGCGTCCACGGATATTTGCGCCCGCGTACATTAGGGCCGAGAATGGTTAACCGATTTTTGATGGTTAACGGTTACGAATTTTCTTAAAACCGTTAACTGACATCTCAGGTACAAATCATCTTTATAATGTACAATTTCTTCAAAAATGATTACGTCATCGCAAATTTATCTCCGGTGGCGTTTAATTCAAAAGAATATCACTAACTATATTGTCAAGGGCCCAATAAATGTGAAAAATAACTGAAGTACCAAGATTGCTGATTTTGAAAATTTGACAGTGATAAATTCAGAATCACTTTTCGGTAAAAACATATTGTTCGCGATTTTATTGCAAAATTGTCTATTCAATCTGCGCAGTTGATGCTGTTTTTCTTTATGATATCTCAAAGTAGAATTTGCACATCGAGCACTGAAAATTTGTCACATAAATGACATCTGATAACGGAATCGGGTTCTACTAAAATACTTCAATATGTCTGAAACACGCTTTTATCAAGAGCGATCACGAAACTATCTCGATTTGTGAAGAATTTTGAGAGATACCGGAATAAGATCACGCGAAATTGCTTTGTAACCAAACGTCACGCTGCGGTTAACCGGTTTATTTCTCTGAAATTTCCAGCCTTAGCCACTATATTATTTTTGTATAGATTGTTCGCGGGTCGCATTAGTGGTAAAAAAATGGGTAATCAGCACCATGTGAAACAAAATTGTACAAACGCATTTGATCATTGTATATCAGCAACCAATCTTTCTACATTTATGATAGTCGTTTACTGTCGCAAACATTCCATGTGCCTCAAACTGTTTCTTGTATAAGGTTTCAGATTTGGATTTAGGAGATATTTCAAAAGTGAATAAAATCAATTTGTGGAAGTTCAGCCCAACATAAGGCTGTCGAAATCGAATACCTCAAGCTAGTCAACAATTCAGGCTATCCAGGCACACTATTAAACTGCCCTACTAACATCAATACTGTCTATACCGACTATCTAAGTTGGCCATAACACTTAGTTAGCCTTAACACTTGTCATAATACTTCGATGGCGTTAGTGATGTAACAATACGTGAAGATATATTTTTCTGCTTTTTGTTATAACAAAATACAACCAATTGCGATTTTTTGTTTGTTTTCTGTTGCAATAAATGCCGACTTTAAGAAGAAGAACTAAGAACTAATTTATTTTTTCTGTGACATCCAAACGATTTAGGCCGTGAGACTGGAAAACGCCTAGAAAATGAGTTTCGTAGCGCACTAAAGTAACTAAATAAATTCTTTAGTTTTGTATGAAAACGAACATACTGAACGCGTTACAGCTTGTTCCGACTAACGAAAGTTGCACATTTTCTGTGAAACATGCTTCAAAAATCCTGATGCAAAATTGGATATAAGGGATTTCTCCGAAACTTCATGAAAAGTTGCTTTCATCTTATAGAAGCCATTAAACACATCAATTTTTATGCGATGAAGTCACAAATTAATATCGTGAGCATAAAAACACAAGTAAATCGGTTAAAATCCTGATGCAAAATTGAATATAAAGGGATTCCCAGAAAATCAATAACCATAGATTTACAACAGTAATCAGTAATTCATTTTCCCATCAATACTAAAAATATGCAACGTACATATACGAATAGAAAAAAATAAGCAAAGTATTTACCGGGTTGATGGAGACGCTGAAAACCAGTACTGGTTATCGAGCAGCGACACCTAGATGGGGTCTAACACAGCATAAAAAAAAACGAAATGAAATTACAAAGCTTAAATTAAATAGGAATATAGAAACAAAATAGACACCCTAGACAGGGTCATTCACAGCATGAAAATAAGATATAGAAAGCTTAAATCAAAGATAGAAACAGAGTATTCACACTAATATATATATATTAGAAATGTTAAGTATCCGGAGGATACGCTCGTTAATGTAAAAGAGAGACTCCAAACACCGTCGAGCGACGTATCCACGGCAACTGCTCGACTGAGGAACTGGAAGCAGATTAGTTTACAGTTACGGTATGTAGCAGGGTATTAATTTGGGTTTTCAGGATGCATAATATAGAATCAAATTATAACACATACCGATCGAATGTAAAGCAGCAAGTAAATACCCTATTTTCTATCGAAGTTATGTAGGACATGAAACTGATAGCAGTTAGACACTTCTGAAGATAGGTTGCAATAAGTGAAATATAATATTTATAGACAGCTTAGCTTATAATGACTAAAAGTTTGAGACTGAAATCCTAGCTCCATGTTGAATTATGGTGCTTCCATGGCCTGGAATTTATGGCTTTGATGCCATAAGTAAGCTCACTGCACCCGGTTAAGATAAGGGTGTTATTCTAAAAATACGGCTATGCCCATGTAACCGGTACCAAAAAGAGGGGGAAATACACTATAATAACGAATATAGAATGAGATTTAGGCGAACCACAAAAAAAAAAAAATTCAAACAATTATTCTTTCAAGTAGACTACAACACAGCATAAAAACTATGCAATTCAAGAGCGTGGCGCGGCGGTGTGGCTCATCGTGCTTAGCGTTTGGAATACGCTTGCAATCGCACATCTGATTACTATGCGTGGGTTCGCAAGTTCGAATCCCATGCGGGTATAGTCATGTACGAGAGGATTGCTGGGCTCCTCGCCGCCGTCGGTAGGTTACGTAACCGCTGGTCGGTTACGGCTTCCTCCACCATCAAGTCGATGCTTCTGAAAACAAATAACTAACTAATCCCATACCCGACATGGAATGGTAACCGGACGAGAGGCCGTGGTTCGCCATAAGGTTAAGCCGTCCTATTGGCTTTCCTCTCCCCGGGATAAATATGTAACTCCTATCCTAACCAAGAGTCCTGCTGCACACTAACACAAATATATTTCTGTAACGTTTCGTCTGACTAAAATCAGACTTCCTCAACAAGCAGTTTACAACAATGAACAGCATTTATAAGAAGTGGCATTTATTTCATAGAAGCTATCAAACGCATTTATTTTTATGCAATGTCACAGATAAACATCGTGAGCACAAAACACCAATAAATCGGTTATTTCTCACTGAGAAATATACTCGGAAAAGTCAACACTAACAGATGTCTGAGAAAAAAATATTAAATAAAGTTGCTATCCATGGTAAGGATCTACAAGTGTTTATTAGCTTACTTATACTTTTTAACACCGCCTTAGCATAACTTAACTAATAATAACTCAAAAATACGATGGAAAGGCTACGGTTATTAACGCAAGAGCGAGCAGTACTAACTGAGAATCATCCGATCGCCTACAGTTGATAAAATTTAATTGTTACGTCATGCAGAAGTCTGCATTCATTGGCCAGTGTTGCCGGAAAAGCAGAGAATATAGGACAGATGATAGCACATATTTCTTGCAGTAAAAGCGTCCTTTTCGTAAAACGTGCAACTTTTGGAAATGGGAACAAGGTATTATTTGTTACTAAATTTCTAAGGAATATTTTAAAACAATTTCCAGGTATACTAGTTAGTTCCCTTATGTGCGCTACGAAACTGAAAGATGAACGGCCTGACAAAAAAATAATTTTTATAAAAGGTGTCAAAAGTTTCTGAGGACCACCGGTGACAAGGGCATTTATATAATCCTATTCATATTTCCTTGGTTATGGTTCTTTTATTTCAACGAAGTAGCGTAAACGCATTCTACAACCTTAAATCGCACATACCACGGTTCACGGTGTCGTTTATTCACACATGCTGACAATTATACCGCGCATACCGTGTGAATAAATAAATGCACTCCTCAGAAAATTCAACAAGAAAAACTTGCTTCGACAAAGAATATTCATATAACGTAAATAAGATGGAAATACAGAGGACCTGATGTCGATTCGGCAAAAGCAATATTTACCCCGAGCAAGTTGTTTGTAACAATTTTACTTAATATCCATTCTAACGCCATTAAGAAGTCTCCTGTTGCGCGTTGTTTTAATCTTTTCCGAAAACTTGCTTGAACTGAGTAGAAATCAGGGGTCGGCAACCTTTTGTCGTTCGTGGGCCGAAATTAAAGGTTACAAGTCATTGGCGGGCCGCACATATTTTTAGAAAGTTGAAAACCGAACGGATGATACTTTTTATAATAAAAATCAAGCAGTGATACATCTTTCGAATAGAATATAGATTTATTTCCTCATTGTATCTCAAAAAATCCAATTTGAATATTTCCAGCGCCATTGAACCCTTTGCACTTAGCATCAACTTTTCTGCGTTTTGTTGCTATTTGTCTAAACGAGTGATTGTGAATTATATACTTGTTAGGTTATAATATAATTTAGTCTAAAGAACGTAATCGTCAAAACGGCTGTTTTGTTACAATAATTCAGCGAAGCGTCGCGGGCCGGATTATATTACTATAGGTTAAGGATGCTAAGAATGACTACTACTTACAAGTATTCGATTCTTATCCGATTCCTAAATTTTCGATTCTCGATTAAGAATCTCGATTCCTCGACATATCTTACCGAGAAAACATACCCACCTAAACAATACCATATGAAATAAAACACGGGAGCGATGTTCAAATATATGAACGGACAAGAAAGCCAAAACCAAGTAGTATGGGTGTTCAACCTGTCACGGAAGACAAAATCGCACAAAAAAAACGAATCCCTAAGAACTCACAGAGATTTTTAAAAATAAATAAGCGTAAAAGCCTTCTAGTGAAAAATACATATATTTAGTGTAGTTTGCGATGTCGTAGCAGCTCAGCATATCAGTAAAGCAATTTATGCATATATATATATGAAGCCACAAAACGTTACACATTGTTTGCAATCCAAGTTTTCCCCTTGAGAATCGATTCCAATGCATCGGAATCGATTCTAGTCGATTCCGCGGAGAATCGATTCTATAATCGAATTCAGACTCGATTCCGCCATTCCTATAGTTATAGGTTGCCGACCCCTGAAGTAGATGGATGGAAGTTCAAATGAATCACGTATAGGTGTTTAAAGAGTGAGTTATATAGTTATAGAATTGGAATGTCCATTACTAGGCGGCAAAAGCACTGGTATATTGGCCTCGTAAATTCACTGACTTGTGCAAAGAGTCATTCACAGTGTTCTAAACTTAACCCAGATAAAGTGTAATTATTAGAAAAAAAAATAGAATGAAAATATTGTGGTCAAGAATATTCGTGAATAAAAATGTTCGCGAGTAAATAAACATTTATAAGTGCAAATGTCCGTGTTGTTAAATATCGGTTAGTGCTGCTAAAAATGTCTGTATGAATGTCCATTGGTGAAAAAAAAACAACACGGATTATAGGGCAACATTGCTATTACAACAACTGATTCGAAAACGATTTACTTATTATTCAATAAATACAAAAATTATCGCTCTAGGACAGCATATGAGGCCCGGTGCTATTTATTTTAAATTTATATTTTTCGTCAATTTTGTCCTTCTCGTAAAAGTATCCGTGTTTCATCTATCATTTTGTCGCGGCAATCGCCCTTATCCATGTCTGTGTTTAATCTGTTATAATTCGGTCTAACAGAAAAAAGAACCAACACAGATATTGCACATATAACAAGGACAGTACTAACTGCAGCAAGAACTCCGTAATTCTGCAAAGTATATCGAATACCAGAACTGAGCAGAAATAATCCCATTTCAGCCACAAAGTAGTGTGATGTCACTAATACAATCTTGTCCATCGGATATGTTGTTTCGATCATAAATTCTATAAGTGTAACGTTAGAAAACATTTGTAGAATCATGGCCACTGGATACAAAACAGCAAGACAAACAAAATTTTTGAAGCGATGCCCAGCGACGATCCCTGCACACGCTACGGTTAAGCAAATGTGAGCTGTAGAAAATATAAAGGCTTCATATACAAATCTACATTTTTGTTTTTTACTAAATATTAGTTGTTATAAATTTGCTTTGAAGCTGTATAATAGTGTCCGAAAATCGAATAAATAAATAATTAGATTCCATGACACTCACTGTGCGCCTGGATTTCGTGTTCAATCATATTATGGTCTGATGGCGATTCGTCTCGGCCAAGGTCAGTTGTGTTGTATTATAACACTTTTACTGATATTGATCAATAAACAATTCTGACACAAAGCAAAACATTGCATCCCGGGCCATTATTACTTTTCGAAATACCTGTCAGTGTGAGCTCCTTGAAATTCTTTGTTTTGTCGATAATCTTTCCAACTGCAATTGAAGCAGGAACAGAAGCCAATAGTCCGATTAGGCGAATCCCAGCTACGTCATCGTCAGTGATGCTGCTGAATGTTTCCAGGAAAACAGATGTAACCAATATTTTTGTGAGTATCACCACTGAAAAAGCAAGCAAGTGGGCTAATGTAAGGAGAGAGTATTCGCGATTACGATGCACTTTTGCAATAGGCTTGATGTTTGAAATCAGCATTTCAGTATTTGGTGATTTTTGATTGGTTTTCTGTTTCAAGATGTATTGTTGTGATGCACTCGGAGGACTAGGTGGATGGTCTGCCAGATAAAACCAGGACAGTATGCCTGTTAATAAGTGCAGAAACGCAATGCCACCGTTTACAATGAGAAATACCAATTTAACTTTCAAGAAGGTAGATTCGGGTTCAGTCGCGTCCAGTGAACCAATTATGAATGGTAATATTCCAGCTGCTGCTGCTTGTCCCAGAGAACACGATGCCCAAAACACTCCAACGACCGTTGCTGATTCGTGCGCCGGAAACCAATTTGCAGGAAGTGAAATTTGAATTACGAGGTTGATCGCAGACGAAATTCCGAAAAATGTTTGACTGCCCAACACGACATAGAACCATTTTCTAAAATATACAGAACATGTTTTATAGTTACCAATACAAGACTAGAGAAAGATATTTGTTACATGTGATTTAGTCTTGTGCAATTTATTTGTGGAATACGGCGTTTGTGTATGTAGTATTTTATTTATTTTACGGGTACACGGATTGGCTGCCAAACAATGTCACGTCCTCATACCCAAAGTAGATATATCACGAAGCGATTCAGAATTACCATTTTTTCATATGATATAATAGTGGAACTTTCAAAACTCTTTTTTTCCGTATGACGAATATATTCGTACTCCGCCATCCTTGGATAATATGACAATAATAGTTATTTTCGGGCTATTTTATGTTTATGTTCTGTGAAGTATTCCCGCACTAACTAAAATCAATTTAGGCATCCAACTAGGATCCATGCTTGAACCGTCAACATTTTTTTTTTGTAAATTTTTCATTTTACTACTAAGTGAATGTTATTTGTGTAGGTATTTCAAAGCTTAGAGATACACGAAAGAATTTGTCATTACTTCAAAGATAAGTCATTTGAACGAGCGGGAAACAAGTTCGCGCACATATTAAACAAACAAAGATACCAGACAACTATCGTAAACATGGTCTCACATAACATTGAATATTTCGCGTTTCGCTTCGCTTGCGAAGCTCAGTCTGGTTTTTGTGCAAAGATTACATATCGCTCATTCAGAAGAGCTCTCGAAATTTCGTGTTCACCGCAGCGATAAGAGAGAGAAACTCATTCTCAAAATTTTTTGAAAATTCTCTCTTCTTACCGGCGTATGGTCGGACGGTTTGCGCGTACGTCATTTGGGCGCGTTTTAGTAGGAAGACGCGAAAATAAGCTTTTTAAAGAGATATTGGGGCGTTTCTTGCACGTTTGGTTAACTAGTCATTACATATTATAAAATGGTACAAAAAGTCGATTGTAACCAGCGGAAAAAGAGGGTTAAATGTAGGAGAACGACGTGTCATGTTAACAAGAAAATACCAACTTACCTGTTGCTGAAACCGATTGCTCCAAATATTGAACCTATTATGATACAGGCGATCGTTGAAAGAATTTGATTTCTCAAGCTAGAATTGTCTTTGAATAAAGCCAGCACAGGAAGGCTAACAGCAGACATAAATATTGCCCATGTCGCGAGAAGATCGATAAAAAATGGCGTGGTTTGGAAATAAGCCGTGATAACGGTATTTATACCGGCATAGCAGTACATCATAAAAATAACGCAAAATACATGAATTGAAGTTATTGCCATAAAAACCCACCGAGCAGAATATACACGATACTCCATATCTTCTTTAATCTGAAATAGGATTAATGAAAAATAAATCTAGTTGTGGTGCGTATTAACGGAATCAGGTATTATTGTCGCAGTTCGTGATGCCCTAACCGGATAGAAGCAGCCATGAATCCTTTGATTAAATTAGTAAACCTCTCTTTTGTCATCCGAACTTGGCATACTCGTTACTCCATGAATAACTTTGATGGATAATTTCGAACATAAGCTCTTAGCCCTCGATGAATATATCTGGAAAGATACTTTTCTAGCGTTTTATGCTAAGCTAATGCTGGAACTGATGTTAACTACAGAACAACAATGAAAGTCTGCATACTTGCTGTACAAATAAATCCCGCTCATTCACGCGAGACTGATTCTTTATCAATGGTTTGACTTCCTGGGAGTCACCTGCCTAATATATAACTTCTTCCTGTTTACACCACCTTATACGGAAACATCAAATAATCAATCGAATCCTACTTCTTTTATTATGCGATCAAGGTGAATTTCATTTTAGCAACGTTGGCGTGGATAATGTCTAATCCCAAAAGATGAAACAATTTGTTTTTCTTTCAATTTACTTTGTTTTTCACCTACGTACCTAGGCCATTTTCATAGAACAAGAGAGTACGCAGACTCAAAAATTAAAAAGATGTATAAATGACATTAGAATGGATATCACGCCGTCAGAGTGACGTGTAAAATATCGCAATTGGTTGTATTTTGTCATAACATGAAGCAGAAAAATGTCTTGACATATTGTTACATCACTAACGCCATCGAATTGTTAGGACAAATGTTATGACTAATTTAATGTTATGGCCAACTTAGATTAGATAGTCAGTAGACAGTATTGATGTTAGTAGGGCAGTTGAAAAGTATGCCTAGATAGCTTGAATTGTTGACTAGCTTGAGGTATTCGACAACGACAGTCTTATGTTAAGCTGACCTTCCACAAATTGATTTTATCCACTTCCGAAATATATCCTGAATCCAAATCTGAAACCTTATACAAGAAACAGTTTGAGAAACATGGAATGTTTGCGACAGTCAACGACTATCATAAATGTAGAAAGATTGGCTGATGATATATAATGATCAAATGTGTACAATTTTGTTTCATATTGTGCTTTTCATATATTTTTAACACTGATGTGAACCGCGAACAATATATACAAAAATAATATAGTGGCAAATGTACGCGGATGCAAATATCCGTGGGTGCAATCTGGTGAAATCCATGTGCGGGTGGCGATGTCTATGGATGAAAATGTATGGGTACAAAATTATGCAGGTGCAAATGGCCTGAATGCAGATATACGGGTGCAAATATGCTGTCAATGGGATGTAGATTTCAGAGGTATCTTTCAGCGGAGTAACCCCTCTGACTCCTTCAGATGTTCAATAGATAGTAATGCTAAATGTTCGTATATTGCAGAGTTGCACAATTTAATTGATCTGTATAACAGATGACAAAATACACCTAATACCTTAACGCAATATATCCGAAGAAGACAAATTTCTAACTAACAAAGAACGGACCTTCTGAAGTATGCGCACCAAGATGGCGCACAACCTGAACTCAGGTTGTCTGGCAGATTATGGTTCAGGTTGTGCGACATCTTGGTACCCAAGGAGTGCCCAAGAACAATAGAAAAAGGACAAGCAACACTCGAGCAAGGGTGGGAAATATGCAATCGACTTCTTCTTCGCATAAAATGTTTCATGAAATTAATCACGAAGGGAATGCAATTGGGCAACGATCTTGTTTCAGGAAAAATAACGTGCACTTCTAACAATATCACACGATACAACTACTGAAATGTACATGTCGTATTATACAGAGCAAATACACCTATCAGTACATGTTTGAGAATGTAACGAGTCATATCTAAGGATGCTAAGTATGGGTACTTACAAGGATTCGATTCTTATCCGATTCCTAAATTTTGAATTCAGAATCTCGATTCCTCGGCATAGATTACCGAGAAAATATACCTACTTAAACGATACTAACAAATTAAACAAGTGAGCGATGTTCAAATAAATATATGGACACGAAGCCTAAACTAAGTAGTATGGGTTTTCATTCTGTCACAGTAGACAAAATCACACACAAAAAAAAACGAATCCCTTAGAGCCCACAAAAAATTTTAAATAGATAATAGCCTTTTAGAGGAAAATTACAATTTTTAACCACTGAAATGAGTTCTAACAAAAAAATTTAAAAAAAAAACGATTTGAATATCCACTTTGTGTCAGACAATTACTGTCATAGTAAAAAGTTCATTTCGTTCACATGTCTTCCTGTAATCTCAAACGGAATTCGGATACGGAAATCTCTTCTGAGCTAAATGCTCCTTCTGATAGAGCGGATGTTGCTGGGACACAGAGGTATTTTTGGATGACAACTGCGATGTTTGGATACGTTTTTTGTTTTCTTTTGTTGCCACCATTGCGACATTTCTTCGTGGGTCGCAGATATGACAAGGGTTGTGTCATTCAAATATTTTGATATTTTTGCCGAAGCCTTCACCTCCCTGGTCAATTCCTCAATGTCACCGCCAGTCACTTCAGAGCTACCCATATCATTTCTGATCAGATATTCAATACAGACATGCTCCATTATTTTTATGGAAGAGTTTTTTGCTATTCCGGTCTGCTGGACTGCAGATAGTTCCGCCTCTGAGGTGTAAAATTTTCTACCTCAAACCGCAACAAGTTTTTAACTTTTCTTGATGTCCTTTGCTCCAAGTAAATAGGAGTAATGAACGCAATAAATAAGAGAAAATATACAGATATGGCCCAAATGTGGCATGTGCCCTAAACCCGCGCAAACGAGCGAGACCTTGTTTGCAATCGAAGAATTCGATTCCGCCATCCCTAGTCATGTAACTTGTTCAGCATGAAACTATAGACGGTTCCCTTACATTTGAACCCTTGTACATTTGAACCCATGACAATTGCACCTGTATACGATTGCACCTGAGGAACTTTTTTTACGGATATTTGAACCCCTACTAACCCTAACCCATGGTTTTAGCACCCGTATATAGATTGAACCGGCGGATATACACATGGGTTCAAATGTACGGTCACCATTATAAACATATCTGTATGGACAAACTAATATAAACAAGAGGAAAATTAGAAAATCCTAGGGATACTAAAATGAGCGTCACTTTTGGAGATTAGTTTTAGGATTCGTGGGGAAATATGAATTTATAATGCATTCGCTGCCTTGAAGTTTTAATTTATAATAGAACCTAGTCACAGCAAGCGGGTCAGGAAAACCAAAACGACGACTTGAAGCGATTAATACCCACCTCTCACATTGATACAAGGAGTCACTGTATGAGGCGCCTCATTATTTCTAAAGACATCGGCGAATGTCTAAAAATGGCATGGTATAATAGCTCGAATTCTTTCAACAGTGATACATTTATTATCAATTGAATTATTAAGTGAACATTAAGTGATTTTAAATTGAATGAAGATTGATAAATTAAAATTAGATTGTGTTAAAAAAAAGTAAACTCTTCACAATGCAAGATAGTTAGTTATACATTATGGTGATTCAGAAAACCTGAATTATCGCCGTAGAATATTAAGACCGGTGGAATTTATGTTGAATTGAATTTATATTTTATGTCAATACTGTCCTTCCTGCAAAAGTGTTTGTGTTTCATCTTCTAGTTCCTCAGCCATATCCATGTTTAATCTTTTGTAATGCGGTCTAACAGCAACGAGGAGTAATACTGATATTGCACATGTAGCAAGGAGTATACTGACTGCAGCTAGAACCCCAAAAGTCTGTAAAGTATATCGAGTAATAGACGTGAACACGGAAGTTCCCACGTCAATCACAAAGTATTGTGATGCCATCAAAATAATCTTGTTCGTTGGATATGTTGTTTCAATCATAAGTTCAGTAATTGTAACTTTGGAAAACATTCCAAAAACCATTGTAACTGGATATAAGACGGCAAGACAAACAAAATTTTTGTAGCGATGACCAACGACGATTCCCGCTCCCGCTATGGTCAAACAAATGTGAGCTGTGAAATATAAAAGATGTATTACTTAACTATTTATTTATTTAATTTAGTACATGAAATTAATTTAATGAAACTTACTCACAATGCACTAGGGCTGTCATTGAAGAACTGTTTTTAAAAGTATGGAATACCAAACAAAAATTGTTATTATCAGACAAATCAAATAATGAGTATGGAAGAAAGAAGCGAAAAATCAATTTGATAAATTTTTGAGCAAAAACAATTCAAATATTTTTTTGTTTGATGACAGTTTTATTATGCACTGGCGTTCAATCAAATTATCTTCTATGTCGATTTTTCTTTAGGCCGTGATCAGTTATATTGTATTGTATAACTGCACTTTCACTTATATTAGTCAATGAAACAACACAACACAAAGTAAAATAATGCATGCCACACAATTATTACCCTCTGAGATACCTGTCAATGTCAGCTCTTTAAATTTCTTTGTCTCATCGGTGATCTTTCCAATTACAACTGAAGCAGGAGCAGAAGCCAACAATCCAATTAGGCGAATCCAAGCTACGTCATCGTCAGTTATGTTGCTGAATGTATCCAAGAAAACAGATGCGACCAATATTTTTGTCAAAACCACTACTGAGGTGGAAAGGCAGTGGGCTAGTGTGATGAGAATATATTCGCGATTACGATGAATTTTCAAAATAAGTTTGATATTGGAAATTAGCAATTCAGTAATGGACGGTTTTTGGTTGGTATTTCGTTCCAGAATGTATTGCTGTGATGCACTCGGAGAACTAGGTGGATGGTCTGCCAGATAATACCAGGACAATATGCCTGTTAATACATGTAGAAACGCAATGCCACCATTTACAATCAGAAATGTCCATTTAACTTTCAAAAACGTAAATTCCGCTTCAGTCGCGTCCAGTGAACCAATTACGAATGGTAATATTCCAGCTGCTGCTGCTTGTCCCAGAGACCATGACGCCCAAAACACACCAATGACCGTCGCTGTTTCATGCACTGGAAACCAATTTGCAGGGAGTACAATTTGAATGATAAAGATAATTGCAGAAGAAATTCCGAAGAATGTTTGACCGCTCAACACGATATAGAACCATTTTCTAAAATATACAAAACATTATTTGCAGTTCCCAAGGATCGAGATAGGCTTTAAAACTATAATGCGCTTGTATAAGTAACATGTTTTTTATATTACCGTATTCTATCTATTGCTAATTACTTATTGATCTTAAGATCGATAGGTATGTTGATAGGTATTTGTCTGTATGCCTGTCTGTCTGTTAGATTCACGCGATATCTCACGAAAGCGAGATTGAATCTGCTCCAAATTTTGCATGTGCATTCATCATATGTCGGACCAGAAGCCTATTGATTTTGGATGAATTTTGTCGTATAATTAGAGAGTTATTAATTAATTAGTGATGGGACACAAGGTGTCACTATGGAGTAAGAGCGCTGTTTTGGGGATCCCCTAACTTTCGATCGATAAGTCTTCGGTCTCTGACCGATATTCTCGTTTTTGATATTGATATGTCCCGGCAGCAGAAAATGCGCCTCAGCAGAAACCCAAGTAAGTAGTAGATACTTTTGCGGAACTAATGCCCAGATTTCTGCAACTTCTGGGTATAATCACACACAAACAGCAATTCGGGTACAAATAAAATTGTGGATTATAGTAGATTTTGGTTGAAGAAGTTACAGGATTGATGGGTTTTGTTTTTTGGGGTCATCCTATATCCTCGTATTCTATCAAAAGAAAAAACGAGAATATCGGTCAGAGACCGAAGACTTATCGATCGAAAGTTAGGGGACCCCCCAAAACAGAAACTGGGGTTTCGAATCATCCGCTCTTACTCCACAGCAACACCGTGTGTCCCATCGCTAATTAAATAATAACTTGCTAATTATACGGCATAATTCATTCAAAATCAAAAGGTCCGAGATATAATGAATGCAAATGCAAAATTTGGAGCAAATTCAACCTCGCTTTCGTGAGATATCGCGTAACATACGAAGGGGTGTCTAACAGACAGACAGACAGACAGACAGACAGACAGACAAATACCTATCAACATACTTACCGATCTTAAGATCGATAAGTAATGATGTATATCTGTTACTTGCGCGTCTTACAAATACCGTTACACTCATTAAATGGTGGGTATATAGTTCCAAACATGGCTAAATTGTATTGGTCTGAAGACGAAAATGAAGAAACTCAAATGTTGAATACAGCACGTTAAGTGTCGGTGCTTAAAAAGTGCTGAACGATAAGGAGGATGGATCGAGATGTCCAGTGGTTTCATCAGGACGAGGCGATCTTTACACATCAAACCACACCCTTGACTGGCTGAGAAAGCGATTTCAGAAAAGACTGATTAGCAGTGCAGCAGCAATCGGGTGGGTACCGCATTCGTCAGGCTTGAAGATTATGATCTGCGGATATATTCGAAGGGCAATGTGTATCAGAACAATTCTCAAATAAATGGTGAACTCAGCGCTGCAATTGCCGATAACACCAGGGAAATCCCAATGTGTGCATGCGAGTGATTGGCGATTTTTCGCAACAGACAAAAGTCTGACTCAACGACCAGAAGGTCTTTTGGATCATAATCTGGTACAAACATATCTTTTGTGTAAAAAGCCTTACAGTCCTAAAACTTTTGGGTACATCATACACAAACAGAACTTTGAGTGTAAACAGAATTGAATAATTTTTCTCCATTTTCATAGACGTAATAAAAAAAATATAGGTTCAGTTTTTTTGGGTTATCCTGTACGAAATTCAAAAAAAAAAAACATTGCATGTTGGCAATCAGTAACAACTCACCTGTTGCTGAAACCAATTGCTCCAACAATGGATCCTATTATCGTGCAGACAATCGTTGACAGAACTTGATTTCTTAGGCCAAAGCTATCTTTGAATAAAGCCAACACAACAAGGCCAACAGCAGTCATAAATATTGCCCATGTCGCGAGAAGGTCGATTAAAAATGGCGTGGTTTGGAAATAAGCCGTGATAACGTCATTTATACCTGCATAGCAGTACGTCATGAAAACAACGCTAAATACATTAATCGAAGTTATTGTTATAAAAGCCCATCGGGTAGAATATACACGATACTCCATATCAGCTTCTATCTGAATTATCAATAATATTAATCACTATTAAATCTTAGAGATGGACAGAGGTGCAATATCACTCACAGAACAGTGAGTGACTAGAAGACAATTAAAACTATTCCACGCTCAAATTGTTTGAGAACTAAAATCATCATCAATCATTAAAAATTGGTGCCCATAAATCCGAGAGATATAGATCTATCAACGAAAAAGCCACACTAGTTTGATAAAAATCAAATCAGGTGCCATAACCCTAAACCATGGGTCACCAAACTCTTTGACCGCGGGCCAGGTATGATTCAAACTGTGTTGAAACGGGTGGGACAAATATTTTTGTCAATGCAATACAATAAATTCTCAAAAGTTGGAAAATCTTTTCAATTTATTCAACAATATAAATTCTACATTTTGGAAGTCTTAAATATTGAATTCTATATCCCAGAATATAGATCAAGAACATCATAGCAGAACAAATATACAATGACAACTATCCTGAGGTTAGCTGTTAACATAACAATTGCTGTCATGAATGTCCGCATGTAAGCAGTACAAAAGTTAATCTGACTTGTACTATTAGCGCAAAATGTACGTTGGACGTTTATCTTAGCACGCGAAACGTACACAGCAACAGACTCGCCGGAAGCACGCGCCACGAGTGCATCCTTCGCAGAAACGCTGCGTTTCGGTATAGAAAATTTTACCCTATTTTATCACAGCTATTTCTAGACAATTTTTGATTACTGCGATAAAACTACAACTACTAAAAAGGGAAAAATAATAATTGACTTATTTGATTGAATTGATTCATACCAAAATTTATGAATCACGACCAAAAACTAACGAATAGCATTCAGAATCGCGAAAACGGACCGGATTCGGCCCGCGTGCCGTAGTATTGTGACTCATGCCATAGATCAGGGGTTCTCAAACTTTTGGTGTTGCGGAGCCCATGAAAAGGTTGACTATTATTCACGAAACCCCAAAATAAATGTTAAAATTGTTACTTTCAGATTAATATTCCTGAGCAAGTTAAAAGTACTTTACTCAATTTAAATGCCGAACCTTTTTAATAGGGTTAATAAAAGTCATAAATAAATCTAAATTTCAAACATAAATTATATATACTAAAGCTGCAAATTTGACATTTGACAAACATACTAATAAATTAGGGGTCGAATCTTTTCTCTTTTGACATTTTTGGAAGACTTAAAAGGCGCTAATAATGTGCGCGATTGCATTTTGATACAATCGCCGATTTTTTTCCCTCAGCATGGCGTGTTTTTGAACCTTAAAACATCTTTACGCCGGTGTTTATTCTCCCTAAATCAAAAATTTTATTCGGAATATACTTGTACTGTAACACAATGACGACGTTAATTGCTTTTTTGTTCTCGTGGGTAATTTTGAGTTCAATGTGAAAAACATGTTACAATATTATAGTCATCGGCGGCGAAATGCTAAAAATAATAATTAATAAAGAGGTAATTCCGCAACTCAAATTTCTTGATTGAAAAGCGGCATTCTAGAATATTAAAACCCAAAATGGGAGATTACACGTTTGATTTCAGCGGACTCACCTAGGATTGAAAACGCTTTTGTAGACATTGTGAATCACAAAATTTGGTGTTATGTTAGGTTTTCATCGTAGTAACTGCGAAATCGAAACGCCATCAATTGTGCGCGCTATCCGCGATGTACCCTTTTTTCATTCTGAAACTACCGACGGAGCCGAATGCAATTCGTGTTTTGCCTATACATTGTGATATTTTAAACGGCGATATCTTGCTTAAAAATAATATCAAATGCGAAAGAACAAATCAAGTTTGACAAATCCCAAGATCGCAAAATACGACGCAAATATTTTACGCAACAGAAATCTCGTTATACGTTTTTTTTAATCGCGAAGAATGTTGCGGGGTAATTTTTCGATTCCAATTTTGAACCACCTCCCTCTTATGAATTCTGGCTGCGCTCGTTCTTATAAATGATGTCATTTTTTTAATTCCGCCTCTTTGCCATATTTCGAGGCTATACTGTTGTCAGATTTTATCAAAGCTGTTATTGCTTCTTTGAACAGTTACAAAATTAGTCAGTATTTTGAAAAGTAATCGAATAGCTCGCGGAACCCATGGGTTTCTCTTGCGGAGTCCTGGGGCTTTGTACGGACCACTTTGAGAACCTATGCCAGTGATTCTCAAACTAGGGTTTGAGAGCCGCATGCGGCTCTCAACAACCTTCCCTGCGGCTCCCGTTAATGTTTTAAAAATTAATTATTTTTAAAGAAAATCTTTCATTGAAAACTAATCATTGACTCGAAATTAAAATGCTGAAGTCTATTAGTTAGTCGAATGGATTCCCCCGTGTTTATTTGCGTAGCGTTGACTAACCTACAAGATACAATAGTGACGCAACAGTGAGCGTTTTCGCGGACACTCGGACACTTTTCGCTTGGAAAGATTTCAGACATGGCTGTAATCATTGGCTTGCTTTCGTGGATTTTCAGTTTGTGTCGAATTTCCAGATCTTATGTATAAATCAAATAACTCAATGATTATTTTAATTTCTAGAGCATTTTAATTTTGTTCCAGAAATCGAAAATAGTCCCGAAAAATCTGGCGATCATCTAAAGCAGCTACTGCACCTTGCATCCTCCACGATTACGACCCGTTTTGACAAACTTATTAGAAATCAAAGCCTAATTAAATCAAATAAAAAATCGAAAATTTTTCGAATCGAATAATTTGAATATTTTTTTATACATAACAGGGATCCAGAACGTCGGAGGCCGATAGTCCGTTTGGAAATTAATAGAAACATTGAAAAGTCGGCAATAAAGCGTTTTTTAATGGTTAATTTTATCATAATGGCTGATCGTCTTTGTCACCGCGATCGTTTTGGCGGCGATATCCTAAAGTTGGTATTCTATATTTCCGCCCTTTCTCGTTTTTGCAAGAATAAGCGGTCGCCGAATATCGAAATTCTCTATTTCTAGTATACCCTTGCGTTCTCATCAGCGACAGCTGTTGAATACATTTAAGGACTGATTTCAAAACCAAATTAATTCTATTCTGAGTTTTATCCTCTGCCTTGGATTTGATCTTCCGTAAATTAACCGCGCCTGTTTTAAGTGAACGGTAACCGAGATGCAGATATTTATTATAATGATAATTGAGTTTCTCATGCTTTTCTATGGTGTTATTTTAGTATTAGATAGATAAACCTAGCAAATTTACAAATGCGTGAATCCTGAAAGTTGATTTAAAATAGCGATTAAATAAATTGTCAATAAAGGCATTTTAGGCCTTTGTGCCTAATAGAGTGTCAGACTCTAATTGTACCTGATTACTTCAAGTTTTAACGTTTTTTTTTCCAACAAAACAACACCTCGATGGTTATTATAGCTAAAATACTTACTCGGTAATGCTCAATTTTCTTTACGGAATTTGCAAATTCAGCACTTCACTTGATGATTTTGATTATATCATGCCTTATGGCTTAATTATTACTGCCCAAATGCTTCAAAATTTAACAATTGTAATCATTTTCGATGATAATAGACGCAACAATTTGTGAACGAGTCAGTGTGCATTGTTACAACGAAATTCACGATTGATTTTACGTTCTACTCTGGGCTCAACTTGGCTCGACGGCCATGCATGGTCGAGTAAAATGTTTACATATTCGAAAAATTACTTGGCAAAGGATGGAAGGGATCACTAAAGAGCTAATACAAAGTGCTTTAAAGGGAGTAGGACATGACATTTCTTATCTGGTTACAACTTAATGAATTTTTCCCATACAAGTAACTCATACCAGCTTTTGGAAAAACTTTTGGTCATTTTTTAAATCCATGCTATTTACATAATTAGAGTGTTTTAACGACCTAAAATCGCCTTTTTCACAATGAAACGCCGAAATGTCATTTTAACATTTGATTTTAAGCAACTTTATGTTCGGTAATGCAAGAAATGGCTAATGACATGTCACCAAGCATGCCGAGTTTAAATCTGGGAAATTTATTTTAAATACCTAATCTGGTTTGACGTTTCTAAATTTGCGGAACGGTCGGTACGTTTTTTTTTGCAAAACGATGAATTGAAAGGATACCATGAGTGCAAAAATAAGCATATAACACCATAACACAAACACAACTTTTCAAATTTTTTTTATTTTTCTCATAGCGAGCGCCATTGGGAAATCTCGCACAATTCACGATTGAGTTGGAGACGCTCGAGTTCGGTGTCCAAGCAGAGCGGCGCAGGTCACGTAATGCCAGATATTCAAATAGCAAAATGCCATTCGAATATTTTATTATTCGAATATTTGGCCCAGCCCTAGTTGTTACGTGTTGTTGTTACGATGACCTGGTATTTTAATTACGCGCTTAAGGTTTGTTGCTATTTTAACTTGCGTTGTTTGTGTGCGGCTCTTCATACCTTTGAGGTTTGAAATGCGGCTCTGGGACTAAAAAAGTTTGAGAACCACTGACCTATGCCCTAGGGCCTAGATGGTCATGCCTTGACCGACTAGGGACAACCATGAATATTTTTTATTGAATCAGTCAACTTCTCTGTAGTCATACGAACCTTGTATATCCGTAATCTCATAAATAGTTAAATGGAAAACCTCAAATATAAGCCCCGATATCATAAGCACGTTGCATTGAATGCATTTCGTACAGTACAAATTATATTTACACATTATAAAATTATAAATTAGTACATTTAGCATTTAGCGGGTTTAAACATATACTTTAACGTTTTGAAACTTCCCGGGGTTCCTCGTGCAATATGGACGTTGTTTCCGACGCTTGACTCCAGAAAAATTCTGCCTAAGCTATACCTTATAATGCTTATTTTAAGAGTCTTTTCGCTAGTCGGCATAACTTGGTTAACATGTTTTATAATCATTATGTTATGAATAATAACATTTGACAAACTGCAATTTGAAAGTACTGACAGATAATTTTGGCCTAGTATATTGCAATTTGTCGGGACTAAATTTCAATAAT